TGCACGTCTCCACTTGTTTCTGTCTTGTGCTGTACTTTTCACCTGCATCCATGTTAGTCCATAGTGTTTCAATTCCTCTTCACACGATCTCCTCCATGTCACCCTTGGACGTCCCACTCGCCGCTTCCCTTTCGGGTTCCACTCGAGCACTGGCCTGACGCGCAATGTCGCCCAACGGCCTCCTCAGCGAGTGTCCAATCCATCTCCACTTTCTCCTGCATATTTGTTAGGCGACTGATTCTTGTTTTGTTTGTCCCCATACTTTCTTGTTGGTGATTCTTTCCGGCCATCTGATCTTGAGTATAGAACGAAGACAGCTGTTGATAAAGGTCTGCAACCTGTTGGAAATACTCTTGGTGACCCGCCAAGTTTCTGATCCGTATAGAAGAACTGATTTGACGTTTGTATTGAAAATCCGAATTTTGTTGTTTATGCAGGCTGAGTGACGAAGATTTCCAGATTTGTTTCAGGTTGATGAATGTGTTTCTGGCCTTCCCGATTCTCGATTTGACATCCTCATCCGTTCCTCCTGTAGTTGAGACAATGCTCCCTAGATAAGTGAATGAAGTAACCTCATACCTCGAGTAACCATATACCAGAATTTATTCAGAAATATGCGAAGAACCATGGAAAAACTAAGATTAGCAATAAAAATGACGAAATTTAATATAGAATTCAAAGTCTCCTGTAGTAGTAGTGCCGTATAAAGAAGGAACGTGGGAGGCCTTACTTAGGATTCTCAATGACGCTGGAATTAGCCGGCGTGGCATTTAAACCATCCAACTCTCTTACAGATCAGCTTTTTTGGCCTAAGGACTTGACAGATCCAATTAAGAAAAAAATGAAATAATTTACCAAATACCATGTAATGCTAACTGTTAGTGGGGTCAGTTACATAGGCCAGTGAAACTAGTAGATCGGGGTCAACTGGTATCTGTGTAAAACTTGGGCACTGCGTGTGGTAGTAAGTAATTCCATATTAGTTTGTTTATTAGATATGTCACACAGTCAGTGAAACAGTATTATTATTTACTGGATGACAAGGTTTCGAACAAAATTCATTGTTCATAATCATGCTGCTGATTATATTTCTTTTTTGTTTTTGTGGAATGTGGCAGCTTGAAATGCTGCAATTTTATGCAACAATATTCTGCATTAAAGCTCAGTCAGTCAGTCAGTCAATAATGAAGGTCGTAGTTGTAGTAAGTGTCCTGATGCTGGATTCAGCTTTCTTTTTTTTCAAGTATTCCTGTTCAATAGATCAAGGGAAATAATCGTCAGACTACTGCATCAGTTGTTTAGCTTCATAGCTAGCAAATTAAGCCATGTGATAATCATAGGGGAATCAGCCTGACGAACATAGTCTCTAAAATCCTAGGCTCAGTAATCATGCACAGACTAAGCAGAACTCGGGAGGGACAAACGAGGGAAAATCAAGCAGACTTTAGACCAGGTAGAGGGTGCATAGATCATATCTTCACTCTCCGATAGATCCTAGAACGTAGACACACTTTTCGGCGTCCAACAATTGCCATATTTCTTGTCCTGAAGGCGGCCTTCGACTCAGTGAATCCAAAGGTACTATGGCAATGTTTGACTGTGAAGGGAGTACCAAGAAAGTACATTGCACTAATCAAGGCACTCTACTCAAACTCACGTAGCCGTGTAAGGGCTTATGGGGAATTGTCACCTGAATTGATAAGAACCAGTGGTGTCCGTCAAGGATGTCCACTTTCCCCTTTTCTGTTTAACTTCATCATAGATATGCTAATGGAAGTATCCTTAACTGAACTTAACGACTTAGGAATCGACTTGTTACCAGGGAATAGTCTTATGGACTTAGAATATGCAGATGACATAGTCCTGTTAGGGGAGGATGCTGACAAAATAGAGCAGAGTCTTCTGAACACCTTGAGCAGCAATCTTCGTATGTTTGGCATGCGATTCGCCCCTGTAAAATGTAAGATGCTGCTACAGGACTGGACTACGTCAACTCCTAGCTTAGTGATAGGGAGTGAAGTGATAGAACATGTTGACCACTTAACCTATTTGGGAAGTTGTATCAGCACCAACGGATTGATTGGTGACGAAATCTCAGCACGGATCCAGAAAGCTCGGGCTGCTTTCGCTAACTTACAGCGTCTCAAGCGTAGGCATGACATCCGGCTATCAACCAAGGAACGTGTGTATTGCTCAGCAGTTGGCTCCGTCCTTCTCTATGGCGGTGAGACATGGCCATTGAGAGCCGAAGACATGATGAGATTGTCTGTTTTGACCACAGATGTTTACGATCTCTTTCTCACGTTATGTGGTATAATAAGGTAAGTAATGTTGACGTTAGGCGTAGAGTGTTGGGCAAAGAGGGAAAATCACTCGAAGAGGCTATAAAGTTACATAGATTGGAATGGCTAGGTCACGTGCTGCGCATGCCTAACCATCGCCTCCCCCTCTCGACGGGCATTACTAGCTGATATAGGTGCAGGTTGAAAAAGAGTAAGTGGTGGCCAAACAAAAACATGGCATCAATCCATGAAATCCTTAACAGTTAAACTGAGTCAGGTAGGGAGATGCAGACTTCCGGGTTGGGGCCCTCGGGACTCTAAGAATCAATGGCTGGAGACAATGGCTTACGTAGATGTATTCAGTCTCTGTAATCTTTTATATTCCTTTCTACCATTACTCATTCTGTTTCACTCTTATACCTGTCAAAACTCTATTGATTCTCTTCACTCATTTTCTTGTATACCTTTGTGTGCTATTTGGAACGTGGCAACTCGAACTGCTGCACTTCGGTGCCAAGTTCTATGTTGAATCCAGACAGACAGACAGCAAATTTAGCTAGCTAGACTAATGTTTGTCTCTATGTCCTGTTTGTCTAATAGGCCAGTTAGTTCATTAGTTCATTTCATAAGTAGAATTGTTTAGAGCAACTCAAACTGGAATATTTATTTTTTGTCGAATTGTTAACAGCCTTTAGCGTTTATTTTTATCTTCACACTTCCCCTCAACAAGATAGTTCTGCTTGCACATCTGACAACGCTATCATGAGAGTCTTTGTTATTAGCTGCTTTTTACTGAATACCATATACAGTTTTGTCGTCTGGCAAAGCGTATTCCTGAATTATTTAGGATTGGTTTCAGGATTTCATCATGAGCTGATATCGGTTAGAGAATCATTGGAGAACCACAATTGGAGTACTGGACAACCAGCTGTTTCGTCAGCCTAGTTTGGGACTCTTCAGCAGTACGCACCCACCACCAGGGTTCGAACCCAGGACCTTCCGGTTTCAAGGCGAGCTAGCTCGTAAACCATTAAGCCACTCGGATTGACGTCATCAAAGTGAACTATTATCGGAGAAGGAAAAAACAACAAACGCGAGATGAGTCTAGAGTAGCGAGGTACTTAGTATTCAGAAGTCTTGAAGAATGATTTCCCTACCAACTGACATCACTTAGCGAATCATTGGAAACCAGGGAGTACTGGACATGTGTTTTCTTCTAGTTTTGGAATTCTCCGGTAGTAGTATGCACCCATAACCCCTATGGGGTTCGAACTCGTTAACTGTTCAACCAATGAGACAGAATCCCCAGGGATCAATAAGTGAATTATGTTTAGTACTTGGAAGGAAAGTTGAGGGTGGAGTGGCCGAGTGGCCTAAGGCGCTGGTTTGACTTAGCATATGCGGATGATATAGTCCGTCTAGGTGAAAACGCTGACAAAATAGAGTGGAGTCTTCTGAACACCTTGAGCAGTGAGCAGTCTTTGAATGTTTGGCATGCGATTCGCTCCTGCTGTCAAATGTAAGATGATGAGGCTACAGAACTTGACTGGACTACATTGACCCATTCTTAGCTTAAAGATAGCAGGACTGCAGTGGCTGGTGGGGCCGTGTTCGCCACTTCATTTATTTGGTGGGGGGAGGAGTTGCATCAGCCACCATCAGCGGGTTGACCTTACTGCTGACGAAATCTCACTATGGATACAAAAGGCTTGTTTGGCATACGCCAACTTACGCTTAGTAGACATGATGTCCGGTTGAATGGCTGTCGTCGACCAAAGGACGAGTGTAGTGTTCAGCAGTTTGCTCCATCCTCCTTTATGGCTGAATGAGAATGAGACACGGCCATTGTAAGTGAAAGACATGAAAAGTCTGGTTAGCTGGCTTTCTTTGATCACAGGTGTCTGTGTTCTATCTCCCGTGTTAGATGCTAGGTGTAACAGGGTGAGCCATATTGAGGTTTGGCGTCGGTCAAGTGCTAGGTGAGTTGGAGGAGAAATCAATCGACGAGGTTGTGAAGCAGGTGAATCGATTGAGAGAGATGGTTACGAGATTTGTCGTGCATGCCTAGCCACCGCTTTCGTCGACGGGTGATGTTACCTGACATAGGATCGATCAGGTTGGAGAAGAGCTAGCCCGTGGTAGTCAAACCGGAGTATGTCTCCATCGGTCAACAAGTTAGATTAAGCCAGCCAGTCAGTCACGTAGGGGGGGAGGTGTAGACTTCCTGATTGGCTGGTTGGGGTTCTCTGGATGGTTAGAACCAATGACAACAGCTGTAGACAATTGCTGATATGGCTCAAAATCGTTGTCAATGGCTGGCGGAGATGCACTCACTCTTTGTGATTTGTCATATCCAGTAAAAGTCTACTGTACTACCCTATTTCTATTCTTTTTGTCTCATATTTCTGTTTATTATCTATCTTCTGTTGCTTTGTGTGCTACATGGAGGGAGAGTGGCAACTGGAACTGCTGCACATTCGTGCAAAGTTCTACGTCGAAACCAGTCAAGAAAATCATAAAACAAACTGACTGACTTCAGGTATTTCTCGAGTTTGATTTTTAAATTCAATAGAATCACTTTGATTTCCCACTGAAGAGAGTTCTATCGAAATTTTTGATGATGAATTCATTCAATCCCACTTTATGTAACCTTAGTTGCTTGTTTTATCTCATTTTGTTTTCACTTTACTTCCTCTTTTTTTCCTTTTCAACGCAAAGAACCTCACTTAGGTCATGCCTACACTATGTGTTTAGCTGATTCTTGGGCAAGATATAGTGTTCTCCGCGAACAGTCGTCAATATGCAAACCTTTCCACCAATTGGATTCTCTTCAATCAGCCTCTCATTTTAATCATTCGAAGGTGAATAAAACATTTTTGTCTTGTGGAACTGATGAACATGGATCAAAAGTAAGCCTTTTGTTGTATAAAATGGTTTGTAGGAAAAAAAGATTACCGTTAATTTTTTTCCTTCAGTTTTTAGGCTATTCCAACCAGGAAAATACATTTATTATTTATGTATTCGTAAGAGACAACTTGCTTCATACATTTGTTCCATTTGATGAATTTTAATAAAGCTAGAACAACAACAATGCGATCAAGCTACTGAACACTGGCTTGAAAGACAATGGGGCCACACCGAATTTTCCCCCGAAGCACTGAAAACTGACCCAGAGACTGCGGCAGATGTGGTCACGTCGTTATTGCAAAAGGTTTGGAAAGAAGGAAGGAAAGATGCTTACTGACTAGAAGAAAGACTACCTTGTTAGGCTGTCTGAGAAGGGAGACTTAGGCCTTACTGTGCAAGAACTGGTGTGGAATCGTGATCTTGTGCATACCAAGTAAAATACTAAGTCGTGTCATCCTAGTGAGGATAAAAGATGCACTGGATGGAGAACTCTGTCACCTTGCGGGAACAACCTGGAAAGGCAAATCATGTGCTGATCTGATTGAAACTCTACGCATCGTCATCGAACAAAGCATAGAATGACAGTCAAAACTCTACTTGAGTATCCTTCATTGGCTTCGAAAAGACCTTCGACAGCTAGTGTTAACCGAGAAGTAATTTGAAAACTTTATCGACCTTATTCAACAGCTATATAACAATGCCACGTGCCAGGTGGTCGACAACGGAAAACTCAGAGTGGCGTTCGAAGTGAGTACAGGAGTAAGACAAGGCTGCCTATTTCACCGATGATATTCTTAATTGCGGTTGACTAGATTGTGCGTCAGACTGTGAGGAATCAGGAATACGCTGGACGATCGATAAGAAGACTCTAGGAGGTTTGCATTTTGCCGATGATTTATGTTTAAAGTCACGCAAACTCGAAGAATTGTAGACAAAAACCAACAAACTGGCTGAAGAAGCAGTGCAGTAAAGACAGGTGAACTGCTGCAGGTGAACATAGAGAAGATGGAAGTGATGAAGGTAACCGACCAAGCAACAGCAACAGCAAACAGCACCAATCACCATCAATCGGAGGGAGGGAATTTAACAGAGATTACCTCCTTCACTTATCTCGGAAGCATCGTCTCAACTACAGGCACACGGAAAGGATGAAGATGTCAAAACTGAGCAGAATCGGAAGGGCAAGATACGCCTTCATCAATCTGAAACCATTTTGGAAATCTTCTGCTTCACTCAACATATGGAACAAGATTTGGATGTTCAACACCAATGTCAAGTCGGTCAGTTCTTCTATACGGATCAGAAACTCGTCGTGCGTGTAAGGAAAAGGATTCCAACAGGTTGCAGACTTTCATCAACAGCTTCCTTCACTGGCTCCATATTGAAGATCAAATGTCCAGAAAGAATAAGTAACAAGAAACTCTGGCGATGAACAAACCAACCGAAAGTGTCTACGGCTGAATACCGTCAATATGGGAAAAACCAGCAAGTCAGATTAAACGGCACACGAATTTTCAGATAAAGAATAAAGGTTCACACCCGCCGGGGTTTGAACCCAGGACCTTCTGTTACAAGGTGAGCTCGTAGACCATTGAGCCACTGGGACCCGATACAATGGCCCATGTAACCAGAAGGTCCTGGATTTGAACCCCGGCGGGTGCGCACTGATGAAGACTCCCAAACTAGGCTGACGAAACAGCTGTCCAGTACTCCCTGTTGGTTTTCCAGTGGTTCTCTAACTGATGTGTCAGCTCATGATGAAGTCCTCCATGCAATCAAACGAAATCTCTACAAAACCAATACTTGATAAAGAATAAAGGGATTAGAATAAGCAATGTTCAACAGAGACTGGAATACAGATAAAGCATATACAGCAGGTACCGTCTAACTATATGACGATAACTATTAGAGATGAGTAAAATGTTTATATGTATGTTCTTAATTTTCAGGTGAATCGTGCTGCAAGCGCTTGTAATCTAGACCCATTACAATATTGCAATCAAATGAGTCCTTTATTTAAGGTAGGCAATTTTCCAGTTATATTTTGTTCCATACACATATGTATATATAATCATATTGTAACGACAGAAGACAAGGGTCAGGCAACAGATTGTTTATTGAGAAAATCAAGAGATATTTATAGATTTTTATGTACATCATTATTAGTGTTATTATTAACAGAGAAGCAACGTCGTCTGATTGGTTGTTTTCTTGCTCAAGGTTATTCTGTCATCCATTATGTGGCCGTTTCTTGGACAGTCGGTTGATATATCTGCTAATCGTACTATAAGTATATATGCGATTTCACACAGCTTGAGAATGATATCGGCGAAAAGAAGAGTAACTCTTCGCTGAACTTTTATATGACTCAATGGGGGGATTTTCAAGTTACTTTTCTAATTTCTCCTTTTTTCAGGATCTGTGTCATGCTACACATGTCAATTATAATGATTTTATACGTACTACTGAAAGTAGACATATGAGTGCAGTTCAGGCATTTTGGGTGAGTTATTTCCCTACTTATTGAATACATTGTAATATGTAGCATTTCTTAATTAGATGTAAATAAATAACCATAGAAAAAACAGAATAAAAAGTCAATTCAGCGAAGAAAATTTTTTATCAATGAAATCATCTTCAGAGGCTGTACAGTCAGAGAGTACAGTCAATGGAGACCAATCTACAGAAATACTGAGAAATCGCCTCTCCCGCTCATTGAAGAAAACCTTCGTTGCAGCTGAATTATGACTGAAGTTCTCCACGAGACCAATGATTAGCATGAACGTGAAGGATAAGCTACAGCTGTTGGCCTCATCTATTACTTTACTTCGGCTGTCTCCTACAGGAGGATGAGCCGAACATGAACATCTCGAATCATTTCTGCCCAGGCGCGGTGATCTGATGCAAGGTTTTGCGACAGGGTTATCCAATTCTTGCTCCACAGACGGAGTCCCAGGCATTCCATATCAGCCTTGACTGTACCAAGCCATGTTTTCAGCTGTCCACCCCTGCGACATCGCCAAGATGGTAATGGCGAGGGATTTAGAACTGATTTGACCAGATCGTCATCTGGTCGGCGCAGAACATAGCCAAACCATCGAAGGCGACGTTGTTAGACCAGTACTGGAGTAAGAGAGTTCATGAAGTTTCATGGGAATTTGGTACGAGTGATGTCCCCAGAATCGCTCGGCCATTTGTTTGAGAGTGCAGCTCCTAGCCTTTACACAACCAAGTGTGACCTACAAGGCAGTAAGAGTGGAGTAGGGAGTCCACTATCCATTGGCAGCCGGTGACCGGAGTTCGGTTCATACGCCTTTTTGAATGGGGCCAGACATCCAGGACACCCAACAAGCCCTTTGTTCATACGTCTGCCGATGAGCTCCAGTGAGCTTCATACGCCAGTCGTTGGAGGTTTGGAATCAGGGTTTAGCAATCTCCCCTAGACTGTCATCCAATGGACAGTCAACCCGGTGAAGAGCGCCGCGGATGGCCTCAGCTATGTGCATCTACCAATTCACCTGCTCGTGTTGAGCCACGTATATCGGCCGTACTCAGCGTTCGCTATCCAAAAGCGTCGACGAACATTTACCTTCATGGTTTAATAAAGGAGAAAACCGATGCCCCCACGGCTCGATCCTTGAACATTTGATCGAATCTGGATACCAAGTCAAACCACAAATAAACTTCAAAGTTATCTACAGAATACAAGGCAATCTTGCTAAAACTGTACGGATCAAACTTCTCCACATCGCAGAAGCAATGGCAATTCATCTGCTAAATCCTGAACTCTGCATACAAAAGAAATTCGTTCATTCATTAAATCTACAATGGACGTAATCTTTCTTAATTTCAGTCTTACTAATTGTATTATTTTGTTTTATGCATTTTATTATATCACATCTTCATTTGTATTATTCTCTACCCCACCCTTTTGTAATCTCTACCCTCATTAACAATGTTGCTAACTCGACCCACTTCCAATTTCTAGTCAACTATATTACGTCATCTGATTAACTTACTTAATTTTCAACTGTATTATTCTCTACCCCCACTCTTATTTAATTTTAACCACCACTCATTAACACTGTTGCCAACCTGACCTACTCTGAATTCTACTCAATTGTATTACGTCATACAATTCACTTAATCAATTTTATTTTATTCTCTATCTAATTAACGTTTGTTTCCAAGCCAAATAATATTTATATTACGTAATTATCTAAACCTTATGAATCTAATGTACACACATACAAACAAAATTGTATATAAATGCAATTGTACAACTCAGTGAATGAATTCACCGAAAAGAGTCTCTTCGCTGAACGCCTTCTTTTCTTTTACAGTCATATTTGTAACTGGAGAGACTCAGACGAATCCTCAAGGAAAATGGATATCGTCCTTCAAGATTCATCGAGAAAAACGTAAAAGTAAAGCAAAAACCGGAAAGAACTCAGACTTTGCCGAAGAAACTGCTACCCATGAACGTTGAATTTAAAGGTGATACTGTAGCTGAGATTCTGAAGAACCGCTTCCTATTCAGATCACTGAGAAAAGCCTTCTTTTCGGATGAGCTACGGATCAATGTCTACAGCCGACAGATGATCAATGGATGTGTGAAGGATAAACTGCTGCCACTTTGAGCCACTTCAGTGTGGTTTTACAAATTCATCTACTCCTGTGGAGCTAGTTATATTGGCCTCACTAAGCGCACACTTCCCAAACGCATCTCTGAACTTTATCCGGCATGGTTAGCAAAAGGACAAAGCAAGACAGTTACTAGCTCAATTCTTGAGCACTTGGTGAACTCAGGCCATTTAGCTCCACCAGAGTCGTCTTTCAAGATTATTTACTAGGTGAGACCGAACAGTAAAAAAGGGCATTAGGGTTCGGCATTTGTGTATGGCGGAGGCGTTGGCAATTCGTCAATACAACCCCGAACTCTGTGTACAGAAAAAGTTTGTCCAGTCTCTTATTCTACCATGGTCTTAACCGCTTCATTAGTCGTTCCCTGTAAATTTCTTAATAATTAATTCATTAGTATCACTCTCACATGCTCCTTTTGTACATTTTCTCACCCTCTTCACACTTGTTAAATGGACACTCAACTACCACCTTTCTTCTCATTCAATAACAATTTTAACCTTATCAAATTTCTAACTCTTTCTTCCTTTGTGCCATTGAATACTACGCAATTTACAACTTTCATTTTTACTTTTGAAGCCATTTCTGAAGAATTATATCAATTATGTCACCCTTATTACTTAATAATGGACTGCTATACCTGTTTGTTAAATAGAAATACTAATTATTCCCATAGTAAAATTTAGAACAACACATTTAAGCGAACAATATTGTTTTCATTATAATAAAGGTTTTTTTTGTATTTCCCAATGAATGAAAAACAAAACGATATTGTTTTTACTGACGTTTCGCTATTTAATGCTGCTGCTAATAGTTATATCAAAGTATTATTAAACCAGAATTCGCAAAATCTCAGCTTATATATAGCAACTCAATCATCGTTCCTCAACAGGGGGGCATTTTCGCGTTGTCAAGTTGGCCAATTGATAAAGATAACAAAACCAGGTGTAGATCGTTGGAACTAATAATGATAACCTAAATAGAACAGAATATAAGGCATCTACAGTAGTTTTACCATATAAGGAGGGGACATCTGAGGCCCTGTGTAGGATTCTCAATAAAGCAGGAGTTAGGTTGGCATTCAAACCTACAAACTCACTCAGGTAGGACAAGCTCTGTAGGTTAAAGGACCCTGTAGGTTGACCCAATTAAAAAAAATAATATAATTTAAAAAATACCTTGCAATGACTGTGAGTTAGGTCAACTACATAGGTCAAACTAGTAGGTCGGGGGTAGTCAGATTGTCGGAACATAAGAATTTAGCAGTTAAGGTTAGAATGATTGACCTCGCGAAGACAGATGATTAATTTAGAAAAAAGCTCAGCAATTGCACTGCATGCATTAGCACACAAACATACAATAGGGTGGGATGGAGTCCAAATTCTAAAAAGTAATATAGGTAGGTGGAGAGAGGTTGATTACTGAATCCTTGTTCATCGAGTCTACACCCAACACGTGCAATAGGAATGACTCATCACTCATACCAGAAATATGGAAAATACTACTACCAATCAAATCAAGCGATGAAAAATAATGGAATTATCGATAAAGAAAATTTTCTTCACTGAATTGTCTTTTATTTTGCTTCCTAACTCAATGGATATTTTTGGTGATTTGAAACATAGAAAAGAAAAATTTATTTCATTTTAGAAACGTTTAACCGACAGTGGTCACTTATATCGAAGCAAATATTCTGGTTGGTATTGTACCTCGGATGAAGCATTTTATATGCCATGGGAAATTGAAACTTCATCGCCGTCATCAGCATCTCTTTCAAAAGGTGGACCTGTAGCAAAAGAGACTGGAAATCCAGTTGAATGGGTTGAAGAAGACAATTATGTATTCAGGATATCATCATTTAAAAATGACTTACATTCATGGTTGGATTCAGGAGGTAAGTTGTGAATTTTCTTTTTCTTCATTTTTTGCCTTCTGAAGGGAACATAAAACTTCAAGATCTGAAGTTTCAGGGGGAGTTGTGTTGCTTTTACTGGGTGGAATTGTTGGCCTTACGCCTAAACCTCCTTTCTTTTTCCGGGTTAGTAAACAATGCGATGTGCGTCGGTGGCATAGCGGTTAGGACGCTCGCCGACCATGCACATGGTCCGGGGTTCGATCCCCGGCTGACGCACTCCTTTACCTCACTAAGCCAGAAATAATGCTGGTGAAGAGGAAAGGTTGGGCATGAGGCTAGCAACCCCATCCTGTAAAAATGAACACTGCTACAGAAACTTCAAGCCACTAGCTTGAAGCACTATGTTTCACTGGGGAACGTGAAGGAAAAAAACGATGCGATGTTTAGGCATCTCTGTGGTTCATAGGAATTATTAAAAAGACGGTTGCAGGGAAGAAAATTTTCTTTTCGACGAAGTCACCATCAACTAGGCTGTACATTCGTGTATTTATATTAGTAGTGTGTGTGTGAGAAGGCTCCAGAATAATTTCCGGTCAAGGGTCAAATTAATAAAATTACAATTAGGAATTAAAATGCCATAATAAACAGTGGCGGGGAACGGATAAAACTCAAACAAAGTTGCATCAGAATTACTGAGAAGATTGACATATTGTGCAATTAGGGATTAAATATGTAGAAATAATAAAATGACAAAAAATAGGCAGGAAGTTCGGATATGAAAATATGGTAGTGTAAATAGGAGGAATTAAGAAAAACTTAAAAATAACATGAATAAACAGGAAGTTTGGATAAGAAAGGCAATGGGATAGTTACTATTAAAAGAATTACCCATGCTATGTATCCAAAAGAAAAACGTTCAACCCTTGTCCCTGCCGTGGCCATCATAAACAGGTAATTCTCTTAGTAATAACTATCCCATTGCTTTTCTTATCCAAACTTCCTGTTTATTCATGTTATTTTTAAGTTTTTCTTAATCCCTATTTACACTACCATATTTTCATATCCGAACTTCCTGCCTATTTTTGTCATTTTATTATTTCTACATTTTTAATCCCTAATTGCACAATATGTCAATCTTCTCAGTAATTCTGATGCTACTTTGTTTGAGTTTTATCCGTTCCCCGCCCCTGTTTATTATGGGTTTTTAATTCCTAATTGTAATTTCATTAATTTGACCCTTGACCGGAAATAATTCTGGAACTTTCCCACACACCTACCACTATAAATACACGAATGTACAGCCTAGTTGAGGTGACTTCGTCGAAAAGAAAATTTTTTTCTTCGCTGCAACCGTCTTTTTAATAATCTCTGTGGTTATCAAGCATTCATTCCATCGCTGAACCACATCGGTACTACAACCAGGGAATAATGGGTAGGTGTTTCGTACTAGTTTGAGACCCTTCAGTGTAGTACACATCATGACACTACCGAAGAGATTTTTCCTAACAACTTCAGGTTGAGAGGCGAGCCCGTTGGCAGACCAACCAACCACTGTGACACACAAAGTAATAGGAATATACAGATTTTGAAATAAACAGACCAGGATAAAATATATGCTAGGGTACTGAGTAGTCTCCAGTAATTCTCTATTGCTATTCATTGTTGATTAGTCTGTCTTCTCACAAACTTTTCAATTATAAAAAACAATCTAGTGTGCTAGTTGCTCACTAGCTTGTAGACTTGTCTTTCGAAATTCTAACGAAATAGTCATGAATCTTGAAAATTTTCAAGTTAGATGCCCAAAATGTTAGTGAGGATGATATGAAAATCTTACTTTACAATAATATGTCACAAAATGGGTGATTATTATTATTATTATTATTCTAAAGAGACGGTTACAGCGAAGAGAGTTTTTTCAACGAAGTCATCAAATAGAGGCTCTACATTCGTGTATTTATAGTTGTAAATGTGTTAATGCGAAAGTTCCAGAATTATTTCCGGTCGAAAGTTATTATTATTGTTTCCTTTAGTTCCTAGAGGAACATAGGGTTTCAGCCGCACGTCTCCATTGCGTTCGGTTCTCCGCCAACGTTTTCACCTGGCTCCACGTCTGCCCACATGCTTTCATCTCCTCTTCACATGACCTCCTCCTTCATGTCACCCTCTCACTGACGACCAACTAACTCGCCGCTTCCCGTTTGGGTTCCACTCGAGCAATGGCCTGGCGTGTGGTGTCACTTGATGGTTTGCTTTCTCAGAGTATCGCCTCCAATCCACCTCCATTTCTTCCTGCCTGTTTGTTGTACAATCGGTTCCTGCTGGTTTGGTTCGTTCCCAGAGATCCCTGGTGCTGATCTTTTCTGGCCGGCTATCTGATCTTGAGTAGTATTAAGCGAAGACAGCTGTTGACGAAGGTCTGTAGTTTGTTCAAAGTGACCTTCGTGACGCGCCAAATCTATGATCCGTATGTTAGGTAGCACTGACTTCACCTTGGAGTTGAAAATTTGCATCTTATTGTTCATGCTGAGTGCTGTTGATCTCCACACAGACTTGGGAGTAATGAAAGCTTATCTTGCTTTTCCGATTCTTGCTTTGATACCCTCATCAGTTCCATCCGCCTGTAGTTGAAACGATGCTTCCCAGGTTGATAGGTAGGTAAACGAGGTTGCTTCTTTCAGATTTCTCCCATTTATGCTGTGGTTGTTGTTTCTGTTGGCCAGGAATCTTCATCATCACCTCTGTTTTCTCTATGTTCACCTGAAGACCTATCTTTGATGCTTCTTCTGCTAACTTGTTGCTTTTCACTTAATAAAATTACGAAGTATAATAATCAGGAACATAAGGTAGAAAAGACATAATAAGGTCATAATTACTGAGAAACTTAACTGTTTGTGCAATTAGAGATTTCAGAGGTAGTAATAACAAAATCGGCAGGAAGTTCGGATAAAAAACATGGTAGTGCCGATAGGCATTAAAAAAACGTAAAAATAACAGAAATAAACAGGACGGTTGGATTAGAAAGGTAATAGATTAATCATTATTGATGGGACTGACTTTTCATGATAGCCACGGTATGGACAACAGTTGATCGTATTTCTTTTGAATGCATAACGTGGGCTTGAGCTTTCGGATCGCCAGCGCCTCAGCCATTATGCCTAGATGTCTTCATTCCATTCTTTTTGCGAGAGAGGTTCAATCGGATCTTGTATATGAATTTGAAGGACTTTCAAATGGAGCTGAATATCCTGAATTCACCACCAGATGTTCTGTTACCGAACTGTATACACCCGTGCGTTCTTCCTTTGCTAATCATACTGGATAGTGTTCCTGGGCGCGTTTTACCAGCGGATACATATTACGTACGACCAATGTACTTCGCTCCACATAAGCAAGTGAACTGGTATATGCATGTTGATGTGGCCCAATGCAATAGCTTGTCTTTCACTTGCTGGTTGAATAGTTTCTTGCAGGAGAATGTTACTCGTAAGCTGGCGGCGAAGTATGTTTGAGAGACTTCGAAAGCTGTCTACGGGGAAGTTCTGCTTCGGTATCACTTTTAAATTCGACGTTCAATATCAGCATCTTTTTGGTGGAGACTTGAACCTTCTCAAGCATTTTCTTTGGTTTTAGATTCTTGTCTATAAGTCTGGGTGAAGGGAAACCATTTTCTTTCAAGATTCGTCAGAGATTTCGCAATTCTTCGTCAATTGATTCCTCAGTGTATCTTTTCCGGATCCTCGAGGAAAGGGAGTATCTTAGGTTTCTGTTTCTTTTGAAAGTTGATAAACTGTCCATTCCAATGTGGGCCTGTTGCAGATGGATCTTCTCACCGAGTTGTCAGCCTTCCTTCTCAGTTGGACATCAAGGAAATGAAACATTGAGTCATATTCAACTTCCAGAGTGAAGTCAATGCGTGTTAGATGGGCGTTATTGAAGGTTTGGAGTAGGTGTTTTAGATCAAAATTCCCTTTGATTCCGAGTGGAACATAGGACTCCAGCAGGTCATCTTCATTTCACTCTCTGTTCCAGCTGACCCCACGATTGTCCGTATGCTTTCAATTCTTCTCCACACGACTTCCAATTCATCCTTGGACGCCCAACTCTTATTTTCGAATTCAGGCCCCACTTGAAGGCAAGTCTAGTGGTTCGCTTCAGGGTGACAGGTTTTGTTTGGATTATGGGCACAGGTTTTTTTTATGGCTTATCCTTTCTGGTCATCTGACGTCTAATATCCATCGACTGATCTGTGGAGAGCAGGTCGACTGGAAGTGGACTTGCCAAATTTTTAACTAGTAATGAGTCGTTTCGTCTCTCCAATTCCAGTTTCTGTGACTTGAAATTTTCGAGGTTAAGGTCGTTGGCACCACGCTCAACCTTCTCTCTCTCTCTATTTCTGGGCTTGAAATCGACCGGCTAACAAACTAGGGATTTAGGTGAGGTTTTCTTATAGAACTGTACGGTGAATGAACACGCAATAGTTGCTTTTGTTTTAAAGAAAGTTTTCTCACATACTTGGAAGTTGGTTGGTGGATGGTGACTAGCAGTGGAATCCAGGATAAGCGCATTTCGTCCTATTTGGGACTGGCTCGTCAGCTGGATGTGCCTGCATTCCCCAGTGAGTCAGTGATGGTGTTCCCACCGAGGCTCCAACCCAGTGTCCATAGTTTCAAACGCCAAAGCGTTATCCACGAGACCACTTGGGCCACGAGAGCCACCCTGGCTCTTGTGCAACGGGTTATATTAATTACTCAATTGAATTTTAGATTTTCCCGTCGATTGATTGAACCGAAGTGCTCGGTCTCAGGTTGACATGTCTGTTGGCTTCTTGTGCAGATGCTTTGGAATGGGGAATGCAGGTACATCCAGTTGCTGACGAGTCCCAAACGGGACGAAATGCGCATCCTGGATTCCACTGCTAGTCATCATCAACCAATTAACTTTTAATTACATGCCCAGACATCGTCGAAGCATCTTCACGAGGGGCCGACATGTCAACCTTAGACCGAGCAATTCGGTCCAATCAATCAATGGACGGGAAAATCTAAAAAATTGAATTAAATTTTCTCATATACGTCTAATTTTTAAATGTTTTTTTTTCTCTTTTTAAAAACAGTATTTCCTAAATCCTCCACTCAATCTATTTGGACTGAAATAGCGCATGGCATGGTAGATACAATTCAAGATGTATCTGTATCAAGGCCAAAAAGTCGTTTGAATTGGGGTATACCAGTTCCTGGAGATGATCAGCAAGTAGTAAGTCTTGTTTTGTTGATTGTGTTGTCTTTGTAAGACCGATAGGTTTTTGTGTGTGTGGCTAAAACTAAGAGGTTTCGAAAGCGCCGCCCCCCCTTTGGTATATACCAGATTGTCGGTTGCATTTTTCAGTGTCCTATTAGGATCTAATACTTGTTTTGAGATCATTCTTGCTGATTTTGTCTTTATATACACGTGGACTCCCCCTTGATCAATTTTGCTGAGTAGCTTAAAAATCCCCATTGAGTCATATGAAAAAGAGAAGACGTTCATCAGCGAAGAGACTCTTTTCGACGGCGAATTCATTCACATAGCTGTACAATCGCATTTATACATAATTATTTCTGTGTGTGTGTGTGTACATGAGGTTTGTCAAGTTTAGATAATTAATCAGGTAATACAAGAATGATCTAATATAGAAACAAGGTTAATTAGGCAGCACCTAAAGTAAGATTGAGTTAGTTAGTAAGTTAGATGTTGTAATATAATTGACTAAAATGTTTCAACTTAGGTCAGGATAGGAAAAGAGGTAATTACAGGTAGAGACTAAGTAGAGGTGGAGTAGAGAATAATGCCATTTAAATTAGAACTAAAATTGAGCAAATAAATTGGATGACGTAACATAAATGACTAGAAATTGAGAGTTGGTTAAGTTAATGAGGTGTAGAAATTAAATCGGGTGGGGGTAGAGAACAGGAAAGTTGAAAATGTAAAATATTATAACTGAACATACAAAATAATACTAATGAAGAGACAGAAATAAATAAATAGAATTTACCTGTCGGGTATTAAGACAAATTAGTTATGTTTTCTGAGCCGAACTGGCTGATTTAATTTGCGTAGCTTACGTCATCCCCCCTGCTAGACAGCATCGCTTCAGCGCAGGTTTTAGTATAAAATAAACTCTTTTCATGAACCTGGAATTCAAAGGTGACATCCAAGCAGAAATTCTTAGAAACCGTCTTTCTAAATGTCTGAAGCAGACATTTCCAACAGCGACCATACGTATCACATTCTCCAGCAGACAGTTAATTCAGTCCAGTGTTAAGGATAAGATACCGCTTTTGGCCACTTCAGTGTGTGTTTATCAATTTGCTTGCTCGTGTGGAGCAAAGTATATCGGCTGTACGCAACGTCAAGTCTACAAACGTATTCTGGAACACTGTCCAGAATGGCTGGCCAGCCAGAGGAGAAAAGAAGAATAGCAGCAGCTCTATCCTCGAACACCTTGTCATCTCCGGACATCAGGCAACCCCTACCGCATAAATGCTTTACAGTGCTACACAGAGTCCCTCAATATCGTACAAAGGGACTTCGCATACGCTGAAGTGTTGGCTATTTGGGATTTGAAACCGCACCTCTGCATCCAAAAGCGATACATACATTCTCTTGCCTTACCATGGCCAGAGTAAAGTTGTTATTATAATTTTGCTTCTTCTTTTTTATTATGTAAGTTCACTATTATTATTGTTAGTACTACTATTATTTTATTATCATTATTATTCCAATCATCCATACTTTATTGCCACTCTATTACTATTAATTAATAACATCGCTTGTCTCATACAGATTTTATATAAAAACACTTTATCGCCTTTCCACTAGTTCCTGTCCATTCTACACGAACTTATTGATTAGTCATTATCTCACACTTATTGCGTCATACCAAATTCTGCCTCTTTTCTAACTTACAATTAGTCATCCCATCTAGGTTACGCCTTTCATTATGTAATACATTTTCCAAGGACAAAGTTTGCCAGTATCTGATTGGTCTAAAGATTTCTTTGTTTAATATAATTACGGTTGTACAGCAGCTTATGAAAATGAATCGTCGAAAAGAAAATTTCCTTCGCTGTTTATATCTTTTTCTTATAAACTCATTTGAATTTTCCATGAGTGATGATGTAATTGTATCTCTTGGCAACCACTGTTGTGAGTGACTGGTTGTTGATTTATATCTCTATTGATCCCTATTAAAGGTCGACAGCAAGACTCCTCCTGAGGAAGCCTGGCACAATATACAGTTAGCTGTAGACACAGCTGTAAAGGCTGTTAATGATGTAAAAGTGGATTTCTGATACCTCATCCGAACTTATTAAGGCAAGAAGACTGATTCCGGCGAGCTCTGAATATGATGAAGAGCGAAAGCTGCTCAGACGCAAACTAACAAGAAGTCTTCGCAACGACAAAAGCGAAAGAGATGGAAAAGGCATGGGCGATAGGTAACACCAGACAACTATTTAGTCTTATTAGGGAAACAGTTGACAAAAGGCAAATGATAAGTGAAACAATCCCTGAGAAAAATGACACCATAATTAGCTTTCAGAATAGACGACTAGAACTTTGGAAAGAACACTTTGAGGAGCAATTTAATTAGCCTACAGCCACTCTTAACTTACCGAACATCCAACATCTCCCTGAATGGGATATAGACATAGGTCCTCCGTCCCTATCTGAGGTGACGAAAGCGGTCACTAATCTGAAACGAAGCAGAGCAGTGGAATGATGGAATGACTCCATAAATGTTTAAGGATGGCGGAGACAGTTAAGTACCTGTGTTAACTAAGGTATTAAGCAGCGTCTGGGAATCAGAGATAGTCCCGTCAGGCTGGTGTAAGTCATTAACTATCCTGATGAACAAGAAGGAGTATAAATCTTGTAATGTTTGGCGTGCTATTCGCTCCTTCTGTCAAATGAAAGATGATGCTAAAGGAATGGACTTGACTACATCGACTCACTCCTAGGTTAAAGATAGGTGAGAGTGAAGTGGTGGAGCGTGTTTACCACTTCTCTTATTTGGGAAGTTGTATCCGATCCATCAGCGGGTTGAACATTGACGAAGTCTCAGTATAGATACAAAAGACTCGTGTGGTATTTGCCAACTTACGCCATCTCTTGCGTTGCCATGGTATCGGACTGGTTAGCTGACTGTCTTTGACCGTAGGTGTCTGCGTGCTATCTCCCGTGCGTGTTATTAGGTGGTGGTATAATAAGAAGAGCAACACTGAGGTTAAGCCTCGGGTCAAGTGCTAGGTGAGTTGAGGGGGAAATCAATCGATGAGGTTGTGAAGCAGGTGAATCAATTAAGGGAGATGGTTAGGACATGTGTTACGCGTGCATCCCTAGTCATCGGTCGCCTTCCTCGACACCGGACAATGTTAGCTAACTGTCATAGTATGGATCAGGTTGAAAAGAATTGGTTAGTGGTGGTCAAACCAGAACATGGCTTCATCAGTCAATGAAGTAAATCTACAAGTTAGTTGAAACCAACTAGTCACGTCAGGAGGGAGGTGTTGAACTTCCTGACTGACTGGTTGGGGTCCTCGGGATGATAGAAACCAATGGTGGTCTTTGGGGACTGTTGGTTATATGACTCAAAATCGTTCTCGATGATTGGTGCAGATGCATTCACTCCTGGTGATTCATCAGATCCAATAAAACTCTATTGATCTTCCATATTACTACTATTCTTTTTGCCTCACATTTCTGTTTATTACCTCTCTTTTAAATCTCTGTTTACTCTCTTCTCTTCTCTTGCTTTGCATGCTACATGGAGGGAGTGTGGCAAATGGAACTTCTGCACATGCGTACAAAGTTCTACTTTGAAACCAGTCGGGCAGTCAGTCAGCCAATTATGTAAATATGTTTAAATTTATCACTGAAAGTGGGGACAGTTTGACACTTGTTGAAATCGTTGAATGGACTGTGTTTAACATATCATGGTATACATCAGTATAAATGAGGAATTGAATGTGTTAAGTATGCGTTATTTTCATTCCTTTTCTTCGTATTCTTCTTCTTCATCTATAGATTTATGTCTGGTTAGATGCACTAATCAATTATCTGACAGTAACAGGTTTCCCATGGTCAGATGATGATGGTAATTCCAAGCGTATTTTATGGCCACCAGATGTACAATTTCTAGGCAAAGATATATTAAGGTTAGTATGTAAAAAAAGTGCTGGTCAAATCTTCTTCTTGTCTTGTATTCATATTTTCATTATTATTGCTGTGTTGTCGAAATAGAATTGTCTGGTTAATTGATTTATTGATCGTTTTTTTATTCCTTTGCGTTCCAGGTGGAAAGTAGGACTTCTCACTTGAGATTTGGAGTTTCAGTAACAATGGTGCTGGGGGAGGGGGCTAACCTAATGCCCAACCTTTCCTCCTTGTCGGGCTTACAACCAGCTAGGTGAGGTAAAGATGTGCGCCGAGCGGGAATCGAACCTCGGGCCACATGCATAGTCGACGAGCATTCTACCCCTGAACCACCGAGGCACTTAAAATTCCGGCAGTACTGGACGGCTGTTTCCTCCTATAGTTTGATACTCTTTGACAGAATGCACCCACTCGGGTTTGAACTCAAGACCTTCTGGTTACAAGGCGAACTCGTAGATTACTAAGTCACTGGGACTACCGTGGCTTTCTTCACTTATCTACGAAGTACGGTTTCAACTACAGGAGTCGGAACGGATGAAGATGTCAAAGCCAGTGAGAATTGGAAAGGCAAGATACGCCTTCATGAGTCTGTAAACAGTTTGGAAATCTTCTGCTCTCACTCAGCCTCGGCATAAACAACAAGATTCGGATTCTGTTCAACACAAATGTGAAGTCAGACAGTTAGTCCTTCTATACGGGTCAGAAACTTGGCTTGTGTGTCACGAAAAGGATTCCCAACAAGCTACAGACATTTATCAACAGCTGCCTTTCACTGGCTCTATATTGAAGATCAAATGACTGGCCAGAAAGAATCAACAACAAGAAACTCTGGCGATGAACAGACCAACCGAACAGGAGCCGATCGGTCAACAAATATGTAGGAGAAAATGGAGGTGGAGTGCGCATACATTGAGGAAACTGTCGAATAACATCGCGCGCCAGACCCTCCAGTGGAATACAAATGGGAAGCGAAGAGTGGGTCGTCTGAGGGTGACATGGAGGAGATCATGTGGCTAGGAGGAAGAGATGAGAGATTATGAGCAACTGAGGGGCGCAGCTGAATAGGGCTGCAGGCGATGGAACAAAGTGGAGATGTGTTGCTGAAGCCCCATGTTTCACTTGGAACCCAAGGGAATAATAATAATACATTAATACTATTATTGTGAACCACAGTGTGCCACACTGCGTTGGTGGCACAGCGGTTGGGACGCTCGCCGACCATTCACATTGTCCGTAGTTCGATCCCCGGCCGACGCACTCCTTTACCTCGCTAAGCCAGAAATAATGCTGGTGAAGAAGAAAGGTTGGGCATGAGGCTAGCAACCCCATCCCGTAAAATAAACACTGCTACAGAAACTTCAAGCCACTAGCTTGAAGCCCTATGTTCCACTGGAGAACGTGAAGGAAAAAAAATTATTGTGAACCAAGTAGGTTTGTGAATTTCATCCCGCACTGCATATTTCGAAGTTTAGACAGATAAAGAAAATTTTATTAAGAATCACAATGGAATGCTGACAGTTAAATCCATTAACACATCGAAGAATACACCGCCAACACACAAGATTTCCTTCTATTCTTTGAGGTCTTGATATATTACACAATAATTGGAGGCAAAACGAAAATCGGAAAGGCCAAACGGTTCTTCACAAAAGCATAAAAAAGAGGATTTGGGTTTTTCAACGCCAATGTCAAATCATCAATTGTTCTATACGCTTCTCCGAAACTCGGCGCAGACGTCACGAAAAGCATTTCCAACAGACTACTGCAGACTTTTATCAACAGCTGCCTCGTTCGCTGGGTCCATATGACAGGTGAGATGACGAGAAAGGATTAGCAGGAAGGAAGGCTGGGGACGAACCAACCAAGAATCTGTTGGCTGACAAATATGCGGAGTAAAATGGAGATGGATGGGACATACACTAAGGAGGAGGTTAAGTTAGACAGCGGGCCAGAATAGCCGTCAAGGGGGATGTGGATGGGGTACAACGAGTTGGGCGTGTGTCAGATGGTGACATGGAGGAGGAAAATGACAGCCTATGGGTGGTAATCGTGGAGGCAGGTAAAGAAGACTGTGGAGAAGAAGAGAAAATGGAGATATGTTGTTGAAGCCCTATGTCCCACTTGTAACCTAATGGAATAATAATAGATCGCCGGTTTCTAAATTTCGGTACTTTAAAAAAGTATTGATTGGTTTGTTCATGCTCAGTTACCCAGAAGAGGTGTTGTAGGTTGATGATACCGCTAAATTTCCCAAGTCAAAGTAGGTGATGAGGGGGTCGAACCCGTGACATATCGACTGAAAACTGAATGCTTAAACCAATGAACCGCCTTTCCACTCTAAAGGTTGTACGTGAAACTGTGGTGGTTTTTTTTACACTGATCAGTTGACTTTAAGTCATTGTCGGGTTATTACACCACTTTATTATCTGTAGTTTGAACATGCAAGTATTGCATCGTAAACGCATCTGTATATATGCTGTCTGACCTATGTGAAACGTATGCAGAAGAAAATGGAGATGGGTTGGGCATACACGCCACTGAGGAGGCCGTCGAATGATATCGCGCACAATGCATAGCCATCGCTCGAGTGGAACTCGAATGAGAAGCAACGAGTGGGTCGTCATGGAGGAGATCGTGTGTTGACGAAGAGGAGATGAGAGATTATAGACAATAATCGTGGATCCAGCCAGCTGAAGAGGACAGCAGAAAATAGAAGAACAAAGTGGAGATGTATTGTTGAAGCCCTCCCTATGTTCCACTCGGAACCCAGAGGGATTTTAATAACAGTAATAATCATACTGCTTACGAAGATAACTGTTGTGGTTTCTCTGTCGACTGATAGTCTTTTTTTCTGCTTCTTCTAAATTAGATTTCATGCCGTACTTTGGCCTGCTTTACTAATGGCTACCGATCTTCCCTTACCAAAACGCCTTATATGCCATCATCATTTACTTGTTGAGAATATTAAGGTAACTTTGTAAATAATAAATAATAATAGTAAAGAATTTTATTACATTTATATTCGAATACTGACAAATGTTTCGATTGTATATATTGATCATTAATTTAAAGTGGAATTTTTCAAAAGAATGGTTACTGAACAAAGAATACTCTTTTCGATAACCTGCTCTTCGTCATCAGGTTCTACAGTTATATATACATTATTGTGAATGAATGAATTAGTGTTATTAACAACAACATTAATGTTGTTTAAATAACATCGAATCAATAATAATAATAATATCAATGGATTACAGTTCGATAGCATCAACATAACACTGCACTACACTGAATATCAGACAGACAAATTAGGAAAGATAATAATACAAATTCATGAATTTATAGTCTCCACTGAAGGTCGGCCAGGGCAGTAGTAGTGGCTGGCTGGACTTGCTTCTTTTGCACACAAAGCACTGGTTGTTTCACGCGAATCGTGATAGCCTCTGCTGTTTAGAGCATGCGGTACCTCGATTTTTTTCGGCAGTTTATTTGGTACCCGATAGATGATGATGGAGAAGGATTCTTCAATGCTGGCTTTGTGGCCGGTTTGGACCAGGTGGTCTAATATCGAACTGTTGATGGTTTTTACTACACCTTTACTTAGCCATACTGGGAGATGTTTTCGAGCACAAAATCATCTAGAGCAATGGCCAATAAAACTCACTCCACCACAAATGCAGTTGAATTGGTAGATACAATTAGAAGTGGCTAGTCTAGGTACTTCATCTTTCAGTCGAGGAATCACCATATGTCACGTAGAGAATAAGACGTGTAGTTTACCAGCATTAAAAGTTCCTTGAATAGATTTTCTTAATTTCCCCGTAATTATTTCACTTGGTATATCGTCCTTGAATTGCAGTTGTATATAAAGAGGCTTCTTGTCTACGGATAGTGAGTAGTCCTTTTCGGCTTTCTTTGTCATGTGTTTCTTGAATGATTTGTCGAGATAACTATTTTCAATCAAGGTGTCATATACAATGCTTAATTCATCTTCAATTACTTCTTCTGAGCATATAGCTCTAACTCTGTGGCTGAGGGTCTTTACCGAATTTCTTTTGTACTTGAGAGGAACGAAGCTGTGAAAATGTGTATATTGTCCTGTCCATGTGCTTTTCCTATGCAAATTTCTCTTAATGCTACTATCTGGTTTTCTTGTAAGGAGGACATCCAGAAAGGCAATTAATTCTGTTTTGGGATTCCTCTTCGCACGTGAATTTCATAACCGAATGTACTTCGTTGAACTGAGTTATTTTTATGTTCCTTTCCGAATCACTATCATAAAGAATGAAGGTATAATCAACAATCAAGGGAGAATTTTCTGATAAGGTTGTTCAAAGGTCCATCTTCTAGTTTACTTAGAAAGAAATCTGCCAGTATGGTACCTATTGGGGAGCCTATATCCATCCCGTCCACTTGGCTGTCAAGTGTACCATCAAATTTGAAATTTACATTCATGGTACACCTTAATAACAAAATTGTTTTAAGATTTCTGTTCGAATGCCAATATTTATCGACTGGTTATACACTTGTTCACTCATGTAAAAAGTCAGTTCAAAGAACTTTTAATGCTGACAAATTACAAGTCTTATTTTCTACACGACCTATGGTGATTCCTCGATAGAAAGATGAAGTAACTAGACTAGACTAGCCACTCCCAATTATATCTACCGATTCAACTGCGCTTGTGGTGGAGCGAGTTTTATTGGCCATTGTTCTAGGAACTTGATTTTTCGTGCTCGCTCGGGAATACCTGCCGGCATGGTGTGGGTAAATAAATATGTACTAAAAACCATCAACTGGTCAATATTAGACCATCTGTTCCAAACCGCTCATCATCTATCAGGTACCAAATAAATTGCCAAAAGCATCCAGGTACGGCATGCTCCAAACAGCACAGGCTATCACGATTCACGTGAAACAACCAGTGCTTTGCGTGCATTAGAAGCAAGTTCAGCCAGCCACTACTACTGCTTTCGCAACCTTCAGTGGGGACTGTAAATCCGTGAAATTATATTATTATCTTTCCTAATTTGTCTGCCTGATATTCAGTGTAGTGTGTGGTGTTATGTTGATGCTATCGAACTGTGATCCATTGATATTATTATTATTGATTGATTCGATGTTATTTAAACAACATTAATGTTGTTGTTAATGACACTAATTCATTCATTCACTATTATGGATGCATATAACTGTGGAACCTGATGACGAAGAGCAGGTTATCGAAAAGAGTATTCATTGTTCAGTAACCATTCTTTTGAAAAATTTTAATGGGCATTCTTAATCAGTTAAATTGGAATTCTTGACTCGGCGTGTTTAATCTTGTTTTAAGGCTATTTAATTAGATTTGATTGTGTATTCCAGTCAATTTGTTCTTGCCTCTCCTCGACAGTCTCTTCCCAGATTATCTTCAATCCATCTATGTTTCCTGGATGATAGCTTTTTGGTTGATTCTTTGACAGCCAGCCGATCAACCACATTGGTCTTCATTATATGGAGTAAGGCATCTGTTAAATAAGAGTCTGCATTAGCTTGTTCAACGTGCTTTTGGATGAGTCGTGTGCCGAGTCTCTGAACCATAGAAGGGTGGGGGAACACAGACTTGAGATTAGTGTTCAACACAATCGGAATCTTGTTCATTATTATTCTGAGCGCAGAAGATTTCCAAACTGATTTCAGACTAATGAAGATCTATCCTGCTTTTCCAGTTCTGGTTTCGCCATCGTCATTCATGCTCCTTGCAGTTGAAACGATGCTGCCTATTGAGATAATTGGACTTCGTCTAAATTTCTCCTGCTGATGGTGATTGGTGCTTGGCGTTGTTGGGTAGGTACCGAAAATACTATTCGGAACAAAGCTGTGGTGAGAGCTGGCTGCAAATCAAAAATTGTAGGCAGCAATTTATGCCACTATTAAATATCGAAACGGGGTCATGAGAAAAAACCAATAACAAAGCTTAACCACTTGATGTGTGCAAATATGGTTGGCAGATGTATGGCTTATTTTTTGAGAAACGATCACAAGCAATACAGAATAACCTTCAGAAGGAAAAAATCCAATCAGATGACGTTGTTTCTCCTATGACAGTAATGTACACAAAAATCTATAAATATCTCTTTTGATTTTCTCAATTAGCGATCTATTGCCTGGCCCTTGTCGTCTGCTGTTACGAAGCTATTGGATCATGCGAGTTATTAAAAAGACGGTTAATGGCAGTAAAGAAAGTTTTCTTTTTGACGAAGTCATCAGCTAGGCTGTAGATTCGTTTAATTTATAGTATGGAGGATTTCATCATGAGCTGACATCAGTTAGAGAACCACTGGAAAACCTGGGAGTACCGGACAGCTGTTTCGTCCTAGTTTGGGACTCTCCATCAGTACACACCCACCGGGGTTCGAACCCAGGACCTTGTGGTTACAAGGTGAGCTAGTTCGTAGACCATTGAGCCACTGGGACCTGATTCAATGGTCCTTGTATTCTAACTTCTGCCGATTCATGACATAGGGCGATCACTTAGCAATGTCTTCTTCAATGAGTAACCGCCCCACCTTCGACCCGCTGTACTCTACTGGTCACGACTTTCCACTAATACCCCAGGTAGCTACCTACCTGAATAGAGCCTGTCGCTATTGAGCATCAGATCAGGCAGTTAACCTGGGGTTCTAGTTGGAAGCCGTGACCAGTAGGATACAGCAGGTTGAAGATGAGGCGGTAACTCATCGAAGAAGACATTGCGAAATGGTCGCGTTATGTCGTGAATTGGCAGAAGTTAGAATACAAGGACCATTGAATCAGGTCCCAGTGGCTCAATGGTCTACGAGCTCGCCTTGTAACCAGAAGGTCCCGGGTTCGAACCCCGGTGAGTGTTTACTGCTGGAGAGTCCCGAACTGGGACGAAATAGCTGCCCAGTACTCCCTGTTGGTTTTCCAGTGGTTCTCTAACTGATGTCAGCTCATGATGAAATCCTCCGTGCAATCAAACAAAATCCCTACAAAATAAATACTTGATAATTTAAAGTAGTAAATGTGTGGGGGAAAGTTCCAGAACTATTTCTGGTCAAAGGTTAAATGAAAAAAAATTACAAAGTGTGATAATCAGGAAGATCGGGTAGAAAAGACATAATATGATCATAATTACTGAAAAACTTGACTGTTCGTAGAATTACGGATTCAAGACGTAGTAATAAAATAGGTATGAGGAGGCGTCAAAAAAACAGCACCCAAATCTAGTAATGCAGATAGGAATTATAAAACGTAAAAATAACAGAAATAAACAGGAAGGGTGGATAAGAAAGGTGGTAGTAGGATAATGATTATTGATAGGACTTACTCTTCATGATGACAACGATAGGTAGGAACAACGATTGTACGTATTTCATGTGAATGGAAGGTGTGGGCTTGAGCTTTTGGATCGCCAGTGCCTGCCTCGGCTATTCCCCAATGCCGGTTGTAAGTCCGACAAAGGGGGTGGGGGAAGTTGGGCGTTAGGCTAGCAATCCCTCGCACCCCGTAAAAGTAAAACCATTGCTACCGAAACTTAAAAGCACAAACTTGAAGCCTCCCTATGTGTTCCACTGAGTATATTTCGTGACATATCGTTTAACACTTGATTTTTCAATCAAATTGGGTTTTTCCCCCTTAATTTTCATCTCAGTTTTCTATTTTTTGTTGTTGTTACTGATATAGATGTCTAAGAGTAAAGGTAATCATATTGATCCAATGACTGAACAATACGACTTATTATCCGAAGAAGTAAAGCATCTAACACCTGCTGAATCCGATGTCCTACGATATGTTCTGCTACGTCAACCATTACTTTCATTCGATGGATCGTATAGTCGAGAAATGGCAAAAAAATTAGTGAATACAGAACTTGTCAATTGGATTGGTAATCTACTTTCTCGGTATGTGAGATGGTGATGAAATGCTGCTGTATGTACACTTGTTACCTTGGTAACGTGTTTAATGGTGTTGTCAGGTGATTTTTGTTTTCGTGAAGGTCTGTCTGGATTCAACATAAAACTTGGCACCGAAGTGCAGCAGTACGAGTTGCCACGTTCCAAATAGCACACAAAGGTAGACAAGACAAGAAAATGAGTGAAGAGAATCAATAGAGTTTTGACAAGTATAAGATTGAAACAGAATGAGTAATGGTAGAAAGGAATATGAAAGATTACAGAGACTGAATACATCTGCGTAAGCCATTGACAACGATTTTGAGCCATGTCACCTATTGTCTCCAGCCATTGATTCTTAGAGTCCCGAGGGCGGGCCTCAACCCGGAAGTCTGCATCTCCCTACCTGACTCAGTTTAATTGTCAAGGATTTCATGGATTGATGCCATGTTTTTGTTTAGCCTCCACTTACTCTTTTCCAACCTGCACCTATATCAGCTAGTAATGCCCGTCGGGAGGGGGAGGCGATAGTTAGGCATGCGCAGCACGTGACCTAGCCACCTCAATCTATGTAACTTTATAGCCTCGTCGATTGATTTTTCATCTTTGCCCAACACTCTACACCTAACGTCAACATTACTTACCTTATTATACCACCTAACGTGAGAAATAGATCGTAGACATCTATGGTCAAAAACAGTCAACCTTTTCATGTCTTCAACTCGTATTGGCCATGTTTCAGAGCCATAGAGAACGACGGAGTGAACTGCTGAGCAGTACACGCGTCCCTTGGTTGACAGTCGGATGTCACGCCTACGCCAGAGACGGTGTAAGTTAGCGAAAGCAGCCCGAGCTTTCTGGATCCGTGCTGTGATTTCGCCACCAATCAATCAGTTGGTGCTGATACAACTTCCCAAATAGGTGAAGTGGTCAACATGTTCTATCACTTCACTCCCTATCACTAAGCTAGGAGCTGACGTATTCCAGTCCTGTAGCAGCATCATACATTTTACAGGGGCGAATCGCATGCCAAACATACGAAGATTGCCGCTCAAGGTGTTCAGAAGACTCTGCATTTTGTCAGCATCCTCCCCTAACAGGACTATGTCATCTGCATATTCTAAGTCCATAAGACTATTCCCTGGTAACAAGTCGATTCCTAAGTCGTTAAGTTCAGTTAAGGATACTTCCATTAGCATATCTATGGTGAAGTTAAACAGAAATGGGGAAAGTGGACATCCCTGACGGACACCACTGGTTGTTATCAATTCGGATGACAATTCCCCATAAGCTCTTACATGGCTACGTGAGTTTGAGTAGAGTGCCTTGATTAGTGCGATGTACTTTCTTGGCACTCCCTTCACAGTCAAACATTGCATTGTACCTTTCGATCCACGGAGTCGAAGGCCGCCTTTAAGTCAAGAAATATGGCAATTGTTGGACGCCTGAAAGTGTGTCTATGTTCTAGGATCTGTCGGAGAGTGAAGATATGATCTATACATCCTCTACCTGGCCTAAAGCCTGCTTGATTTTCCCTCGTTTGTTCCTCCCGAGTTCTGTTTAGTCTGTTAATGATTATTGAGCCTAGGATTTTAGAGACTATGTTCGTCAGGCTGATCCCCCTATGATTATCACATGAGGACTTGTCTCCCTTCTTGAATATTGGTATAATAGGTGACGTGAAGGATTATACTTCGAAGGATAAAAGCAACTGCTTGTGACTAAATAGATCCTAGTAAACTGTATCATCGGTATACTGTCCTTCGGATCCATACGAGGAACAAGAAAAGATCGTTTCTTTATACATTGATGTTATTCCTGAGTCTCCCGCATTTCAAACAAAGGTGGTTCAGTGTTTTGCAAAAAAAAAGCAGAACTCTGAGATGTAATCATATAGTTTTTATTGCTGGAGTTGAGGGGATTGGGAGAAGCACCTATCGGGGTGTTTCATGCCCCCGATAAACTCTCATCATTGGAAGAACGAACAGAAAGAAGGTAACACCTTCGATTTTCTGAACATGTACCAAAATGTCTACGTCTCAAGAAAACAAACGCTACTATGTCGCCATTACCAGCCATGTCCTTGATGACACCAGGTCATGAAGTGGAAATTGCGAAATCCTTTAAAACTATCAATAGACTAAAAAGCTCAATTCTCTCCTCAGGTTTACTGAATTAGTCTCTGTTAAACGCCTGAAACGCGATTTATGTGTTCAGAAAAAAACAGTTAACAGTCTTTCCTTGCCCACTTGGTAACGGGATATCTTAACCTCTCCCACTTTTTTATATAATGCAATTTTTCTTGTCTCTTGTTTCTTTGATTTGAGTTGAACTCAAATTTGTTAATTTAATTGGTGGATGGTAACTAGCAGAGGAATGCAGGATAAGGAGCATTTCGTCCTATTTGGGACACGTCAGCGACTGGATGTACCTGCATTCCACAGTGAGTCAGTGATGATGTTCCCACTGAGGCTCGAACCCAGTGCCCATAGTTTCCAACGCCAAAGCGGGTTATCCACTAGACCACTTGGGTCACGAGAGCCACCTCTTGTGCAAAAGGCAGTGGCACTGGATTCGAGCCTTGGTGGGAACAACTTCACTCACTGGGTAATGCAGGCACATTCAGCTGACGAGCTAGTCCCAAATAGGATGAAATGCGCGTTATCCTGAATTCCACTGCTAGTCACCATCCGCCGATTAAATTATAATTGCATGCCCAGACATCGTTGAAGCATCTGCACAAGAAGCGGTTATGTCAACATGAGACCGAGCACTTCGGTCCAATCAGTCGACGGGAAAATCTAAAATTCAATCAAATTTGTTAGTTGTTCATAATCTTACTCACCTCTTGTCATTATTACGTAACTCCTTTGCCATTGTATGCATACATTTACTTTGTTTAAACTTGAACTCCCTGTGTGTAAAATCTATGCATTCAAGTGTTGGTTTGCAGGGATTTGATTGGTTTCAGGATTTCATCATGAGCTGACATCGGTTAGAGAGCCATTGGAAACCAGTACTGGAGTATTGGATAACCAACTGTTTCGTCAGTCTAGTTCGGGACTCTTCAGAGGTATGCGTTCACTGCCAAGCTTCGAACCCAGGACCAGATCCAGTAACCAGCCTATGAATTCCAACTTCTGCCAATTCATACACGATATAGCGCGACTGGCACTATCCAGTGTTATCGCTGGCGAGTATTTGTCCTCACATCCGACCTGCTGTGGTCACGACTTCCCATTAGAACAGAACCGAAGTAACTACCTACCTGAATAAGGCCAGTCACCAGTGTGAGGACCACTACTCGCCGATCACATTCACTAGTGGTCACGCCATATGATGAATTGGCAGAAGTTCGAATTCATGGGCTGGTTCTTGGATCGGGTCCCAGTGGATTAATGGTCTACGAGTTAGCTCGCCTTGTAACCAGAAGGTGTTGGGTTAGGACCTCAGTGGTTTGGGTGCGTACTGATGAAGAGTCACATACTAGACTGACGAAACAGCTGGCTATCCAGTACTCGAGTGCTGGTTTCCAATGGTTCTCTAACCGATGTCACTTCATAATGAAATCCTAAAAAGTATATAAGTGTAATTTTCTGAGCACTGTTCATTAAGTTTAGAACCTCCTGTCAAGTGATATCATGTAAAATTTGCAAGTATGCTAATACTTTTGTGCACATAAACTTCACTTAGTAGTTTACTTAGGCTGTAAGCAGCTGATGAGAAGCCAACGAAATAATGAAATGATGGTACCATATTATTCTGCACAACCACTGTTGTTCTTGCTTCATTTAAACCCTAGGTTACTAAACATATTTCAAGACAAATCATGAGGTCATTGACTTCTAATCTTAGTCACGTATGGAAGTGTCGGTTGTGTTTAACTGTGGTGCTGAAGTATGCTAAAAGTCAACGATTGGAGACTCTTGTGAACATGTCTGAATATCGTGCAGAAAACGTAGACATATTTTGCCCTATATGGCTTTATCTTTGTATTATGTACTTACTGAATATGACTACAAATCAAGTAAGAGTAGTGTTTGAGTTCAGGAATCTACATCATCTAGAGGGTTGTAAAACAGAAAAATACAACAACAAAAGAGGGATGAGCTAGTTGTTTCAGCTTTGTGAAGGGAATGCCGAGAAAATACATCACCCAGTCACTGATCAACAAGGCACTCTACTCGAAGTCATGCAGCCAGCTAGGTGAAAGCCTATGGAGAGTTGTCATCTGATAACTGGCGATAACCAGTGGTGTCTGTCATGGTGGATGTCCACTGTCCCCATTTCTGTTTAATTTCATCCTGGATACATGTGCTAATGGACTTAACCCTAACTGACTTCAGCGACTCAGGGAGTGACTTGTTAGCACCAGGGTATGGTAGTCTCGTTGACTTAGAATAGGCGTATGATATGTAGTCCTTCTAGGTGGAAACGCTGACAAAATACAGCAGTCTTCTGAACACCTTGAGTAGCAATCTTCGAATGTTTGGCATGCGATTTGCTCCTATCAAGTGTAAGATGATGTTATTCTACAGGACTGGTCTGGACTACATTGACCCACTCCTAGCATGAAGACAGTCAGGAGTGAAGTGGTTGGTGGAGTGTGTTGACCACTTCACGACTTCTATCCCCGGCCGACGCACTCCTTTACCTTGCTAAGCCAATAATAAGACTGGTAAAGAGGGAAGCTTGGGCATGAGTCTAGCAACCCCATCCCGTAAAAATAAACACCATTACTGCTACCGAAACTTCAAAGTTCTAGCCTGAAGCCCTATGTTCCACTGAGAACATATAAGAATAAAAAGTATCAACCAGCGCCAAAGGACTGATTGCTGACGAAATCTGAGTATGCATAAAAAAGGCTGTTTTGGCATACGCCAACTTACGCTATCTCTGCGCTAACCAATTTATATGTGTGCATGTGTATGTGTGGTCACACGTAGATGGGAAGGACCAGTTGATCTCTGCAGGTCAGATCGGAGATGCGAAACACATTCCTAAATGGTTACATGGTAAATAGATATCCAGCACCACCTGTCGGAAAGTACATCACATAGATGCGTCATTAAGTTGATTTTTAATATTGCCTTTAAGCTCATATACAAAACATGGTATATTGTTATATACCTAAATTCGTTGAAGTTTAAAACTTTTCAAGGTTTATGGGATACTAGTTAGTGACAAGGAAATAATAATATTAATAATGCCATCTCCGAAAGCCATTACAATTTCTTTTCTCTTCTCTCATTCTTTTCTTGTAGTATCACATCTGAAGCACTTAACCCTGAACAGTCTATTATCCAGTTGGACCGTAAAGATGTCGACGACATTTTCTCTCATGATGAATTGGATGCTGATTTCCTCAACAGGTTGGTTATAATATATAATTTTTTTCTATACTTTGTATTGCAGTTGGTGGTTTTTCAGCATTCTATGTAACACCCTTGAGTTCTAAGTGGGCTTCAACAACACATCTCCACTTTGTTCTACTTCCTGCTGTCCTCTTTAGGTGGGTCCACGATTACCCAGAGTCTATCATCTCTTCGGACGATCTTCTGCATGTCATACTCGCACTGACAACCCACTTGTCGTTTTCCATCCGGATTCCACTCAAGGGCCTGGCGCGCAATGTTATTCGATGATTTCCTCAGTGGCGTATGCCCAATCCATCTCCATTTTCTCCTACATATTTGTTGAATATGCCCTCATCCAACAGCTGTACGACAATGCTGCATGCCAAGTAATCCACAATGGGAAACTTACGGAACCCTTCGAAGTGAGGACAGGAGTAAGACAAGGCTGCCTACTATCGCCAATGATTTTCCTGATTGCAGTAGACTGGATAATGTGACAAACAGCGGGCCTACAGCAACAACAACAGACAACAATCAGCATAAATTGGAGGAACCTGAAAGAAACAACCTCTTTTACCTACCTGGGAAGCATCGTTTCAACTACAGGCGGAACTGACGAGGATATCAAAGCAAGAATTGGAAAAGCAAGACAAGCTTTCACTACTCTCAAGTCTGTGTGGAGGTCAACAGCACTCAGCATGAAAATGAAAATAAGATCCGGATTTTCAACTCCAATGTGAAGTCAGTGCTACTGCTATACGGATCAGAGACTTGACTTGTCATAAAGAGCATCTCAAACAAACTACAGACCTTCATCAACAGCTGTCTTCGCTCAATACTCAAGATCAGATGGCCAGAAAAGATCAGCAACAGGGAGGATCTCTGGGAGCGAACCAACCCGGAGGAACCGATTGTGAAACAAATAGGCAGGAAGAAATGGAGATGGATTGGCCATACTCTGAGGAAACCATCAAGTGACATCACTAGACAAGCCAGTGCTCGAGTGGAACCCGAAAGGGAAGCGGCGAGTTGGTCGTCAGTGCGAGGGTGACTTGGAGGAGGTCATGTGAAGAGGAGATGAAAACGTGTGGGCAGACTTGGAGCTAGGTGAAAATTCTCTCAGAGGACCGAACGCAATGGAGACGCACTGCTGAAACCCTATGTTCTTCTAGGAATTAAAGGAAACAATAATAATAATTTGTTGAACTATAGATTTTTGGTTTGTTTGTTCCCAGTGAGAGTTTCATGTTTCTAATTCTTTTTGGATAGCCATTTGATCCTCAATTAGGAGTCAGTGAAAGCGACAGCTGTTGATAAAAGTCTGCAACAGGTTGTTGGAAGTCCTTTTCGTGACATGCGAAGTTTCTCACCCGTATAGAAGAACTGATTGACCGACTGACTTCACATTTGTGTTGAATAGAATCTGAATCTTGTTCTGTGTGCTGGCTGAGTGAAGCAGAAGATTTCCAAACTGGTTTCAGACTATTGATATAAGGATAAAACTTGGTCACTGTGGTAGAGTATAACTCCATTATGGATAAGATTTTGTTTTGATAAAGTGTCACACAGTGTTGTACAGTAATATTAATTGATGACCACGTTTCGAGCACAAACTATTGCCACTCATAATCATATCAAGGCACTCACTCACACAACTTTCTTGCTTCATTTATATACATGAGTAAAAATTGATGATTAGACATTTGAATGAAAATCAATATGGGATAATGTACATTCAGAAATAATAATATGAGTGTTATTGATCAATTACAATCAGATGGGAAATAAGACGAGTGTTTTTATAGTCAAAATGAGTAACTTGTTAGAATGTTATGATGTACGTGAATTGAAATAGAATTTTAAGATTATTCATTATCCTCCTCTGATTTGACTGACTGGCGGTAATAATATCTTCCATGCATATCTCTGGTATTTGCATTGAGTCATTTCTGTTGCATGTGTTGGGTGTAGACTCAATTAACCAGGATTTAGTAGGTAATCAATCTCTCGCTCTCCACCTGCTTATATTACATCTTAGAATTTGGACTGCGTCCCACCCTATTGTGTGGTTGTGTGTTAATGCATGCAGTGCAATTAAGTGCCGAGCTTTTTTCTAAATTACTTATCTTCTTGGAGTCAACCATTCTTACCTTAGCTAAATTCTTATGTCCCAACAATCTGATTACCCGCGACCTACTAGTTTTACCTATATTTCAGACTCATGAAGGCGTATCTTGCCTTTCCGATTCTGACTGTCTGGCCTTGACATCTTCATGCGTTCCGTATGCCTACAGTTGAAACAATGCTTCTTAGCCAGATAACTGAAGGCAGGAAGTAACCTCTGTCAAATCTCTCCCGTTGATGGTGATTGGTGCTGGTTGTTGTTGTTGTTGTCGTTGCTGTTCGATGGTTGGTAATCTTCATCATCCCCTCCGTCTTCTCTATGTTCACGCGGAGTCAGTCCTGTCTTCGCTGCACTGCCTGCTTCATCAACCAGTCTTTTTTGACTTTCTCCTGCAAGTCTTCAAGTCTGTGTGTGTGTGACATTAAACATAAATTATCCACACGTGAAATGCAGATCATCTAGAGTTTTCTTATCGGTCAGTGCAGCGTATACCTATCCTCTAACTCCCTACAGTCTGAGATGCTTTCTTCTTAACTTCGTGATTTCTGCGAATCCAGGTACACTGACGTGTGATATCGAATCATTTCTGAAAAATATTCAGACTATGTATTTTTTTGTTGAACATTTATTGGAATATGAACATAGGCATTATTAAAATGACGGTTAGTTGCAGCGAAGAAGAAAATTTTCTTTTCGACAAAGTCACCGTCAACCAAGGAGGCTGTACATTCGTGTATTTATAGTAGTAAATGTGTAGGAGAAAGTTCCAGAATTATTTCTGGTCAAAGGTCAGATTGTGGTGAGACCTGGCTGGCTGCTAGCCAAATTGGTAAACAGCAATTTTCGTCAATGTTTACGTCCCCAATGTTGGTCATGAGAAAAATAACAACAAAGACTGACTCAACAACCAACCACAGCACACGTTGAGTAGGCGGATACAATTTGCAGATAGATAGTCTGACCTTCAAAGAGACGGCCACAAAGAGATGAAAGATTAACGTTCAGCGAGAAACCACCAATCAGAAGACTGTGTTTGTTTGCTTACAATATAATCTATAATAATGTACATGAAAATCTATAAATGTGTGTTGATTTCCTAAATAAACGATCTGTTGCCTGGCCGTTGTCTTCTGTTGTTACAAGATTAGTAAAATTACTAAGTGTAATCAACAGAAGATAGGTAGTGGGGTACTATTCTAGAAATATTTCAGGTCAAAGGTCAAATTGAAAGTTACAATGTGTAATAATCAAAAAGATCGGGTAGGAAAGACGCAATAGGATTATAATTACCAGAAAACAAGTCAGTTTGTATAATTACGGGTTAAGGATGTAGTATTAACGAAATGGGTAGGAGGTTCGAACATATAAAAATAAAAACAGTAATCAAATCTAATAATGCAGATAGGGATTTAAAAGGTAAATATAACAAATAAACGGGAAGTTTGGACAAGAAAGGTGGTAATAGGATAATCATTCTTAGTGAAACTTACTTTTCATGATGGCCATGGTAGGGACAATGGTTGGACGTATTTCTTTTGGATACATAGAATAGACTTGAGTTTTTGGATCACCAGTGCCTGGCTCAGCTATTCCTAGGTATCTTGAATTCACTCCCTTTGGTAGGTTGGATCGAATCTTATATATGGCTTTGAAGGACTTTTCAAATGTGGCCTACCGTGGCCACTATGAAAAGTCAGTCTCACCCAATAATGATTATCCTATTACCACCTTTCTTGTCCAACCTTCCGGTTTATTTGTTATATTTACCTTTTAAATCCCTATCGGCATTATTAGATTTGGTTACTGTTTTTATTTTTATGTGTTCGAACCTCCTACCCATTTCGTTAATTCTACTTCCTTATTCCGTAACATGGAGTCGTCAGTACACAAATTTCCATAGTTGGGTCCCTTTGAGAAGAAAGAGAAATCTTATCCACTCCTTATCCTCAAGAATAAGGAGGATATGTTCCGGTGATTCAATCGATGGGGAACTGAGGCGACTCAGACAAGTCCTCATAGAGAATGGATATCCTCCAAGATTTACCGAGAAAAACATGAAGTTAAGGGAAAAGCCTGAAAGAATCCAGACGGTGCCGAAGAAACTGCTATTTATGAGTGTTGAATTTAAAGGTGATACCGCAGCTGAGATCCTGAAGAATCACTGATGCAGATCACTGAGGAAAGCCTTCTTTATGGCTGAGTTACGTATCAATTTCTACAGCCAACAAATGATCAATGGATGTGTGAAGAATAAACTACCGCTTTGGGCCACCTCAATGTGTGTTTATAAATTCACCTGCTCGTGTGGAGATAGTTATATTGGCCGCACAAAGCGCGCACTTTCCAAGCGTATCTCTGAACATTATCCGGCATGGTTAGCAAAAGGACAATGCAACACAATTACTAGCTCAATTATCGAGCATTTGGTGAACTCAGGCCACGTAGCTCCACCAGAGTCGTCTTTCAAAATCATTTACGAGGTGAGGCCAAATGGTACAAAGGGCGCCAGGTTTTGGCTTTTGTGTATGGCGGAGGCATTGGCAATTCGTCAATACAACCCTGAACTCTGTATATAGCAAAAGCTTGTCCAGTCTCTTATTCTACCCTGGTCTTAACCTCTTCATTAGTCGTTCCCTGTTAAAAATTTTTTTTTATTTTTACCTTTAGTTTGCTTTTGCTTTAGTAATTAATTCACTATCATCATTCTCATGTGCTCCTTCTGTACATTTCACACCTTCTTCACAGTTGTTAAATTGATACTCAATTACCTCGATTCTCACTCATTAGCAGTTTTATCCTTATCAAGTTTATATCTTTGTGCCGTTGAGTACCACGTAATTTACAACTTTTACCTTTCACTTCTAAAGCCAATTTCGAGTAATTATATCAATTATGTCACCCCCTATTACTCAATAATAGACCACTATATATTTTTAGTAAGTATAAATACGACTGTACATACAGCCTCTGAAGATGATTTCGTCGATAAAGAAAATTTTCTTCGCTGAATTTGTCTTTTATTTTCATCATGACTCAATGGGTATTTTCGGTGATTTGAAGCAGAGCAAGAACTCTGTGACAGTGAAGGAACTTGATACGTTTCTTAATTTTTCTGTCAAACTTTCCATAACGAATACAAGAATCAGTTTTCTGAAGAGCTGTATTGATAAGAAAGAATATCCCAAGCACTTCTGGAAATGTCTTCGTCGCAATCATATTAACCCGTAATTTTACAAACTGACTCATTTTCTAGTAATTATAATCCTACTTCGTCTTTTCTACCCAATCTTCCTGATTATTAAACATTGTAATTTTTAACTTGACCTTTGACCTGAAGTATTTCTAGAATATTGCCACTGTTTATTACACTTAGTAGTCTTATTAATCTGATCTCTGAACGATAATAATTCTGGAACTTTTGACACATGTAATATATAAATACACGAATGTACAGCCTCCTTGGTTGACGGTGACTTTGTGATTTCTTCTTCGCTGCCGCTACTAACCGTCTTTTTAATAATTTCTATAATCCAATAGAATGTGAACACTTTGTTATGTGTATATATTTAGTCCCTCTTAGAAACTTGCCAACACTTTCTTTTTTTATTACCATTATCAAGCTTAGAAAGTCTATCGCATCGTTTTGACAAACTTTGGTGGGATGAATTACAGCCGCATAATGCTATCGAGGAGGTATTACGTGTTATCCGCCAGGCAAATGCATTCATTACTCGACATACTCCTTGGCATGAAAAAGACTCGTTACGAAGACAGTGTATTTTATCAGTTGTTGCAGAAGCCTTAAGAATATGCGGATTTCTCCTTCAACCGGTTATACCAAATTTGTCGCTTCGATTATTGAACAGACTTGGTGTGTACAACAGTGAAGCTGATGGTGACAAGCAATCATCAAATGTCTGTGGCAAACTGCGTGTTTTAGGTGAAAATAACGAGAAATTTCTTCGTAAATTGTAGTGATTATGTTAGGAATCTTTATGACCTGTGAAATTTTGTATTTATTTTGTAATTGTACATATTTTTTCGATAGGACACTGATTTATTTAACATGTTAAATATAATAATTTAAAACAATTAGTTACCTTTTTGAATTTAGACGAAGCAATAAGAAGACGTAATTTGTCTGAATCGTGTAATGTATTTGCGCGCAACACATTTCGAACAATCTGATCACACATGGACTAGTCCTAGGAATGTGTATATATGAAATTAATAAAGAGTTAAGAGGTGAGAAAACAAATTTAGGTTAAGCTAAAAGCACATATTTCTGCCCTGTTCGGTACAAAAGAGCCTTAGTGAGCGAGGTGCCTCTTCAGTAGAATCCAACGAATATGCATTGAAGACAGACACACTTGATGAAGAAGAAAGAAAGTTGACACAAACTCTGGTTGATAACAATTATCCAGACAAGTTCATTAGGAGATATAAAGTGGTCAGTGGAACACCAAGACCCACTCACTCTTCAACTCGCCCCTAAGAAAGACGTGTACATCAAGCTACCCTATATGGGGCATCATAGCAGGCAGCTTGATAACTAGACAAAGACTGAACGCTGCTGTTAAAAAGACTTTTTATGCAGCTAATATCATAATAATTGAGAATGTGAAGCCAATATATCTATCTAAGCCCTTCGAACATGCGAAAAATGATGTCACATCCCACTGTATTTACCAATTTGAATGTACGTGTGGACACACATACATAGAAGGGAGGACTCATCGATCTCTGCAAGTAAGGGCTGACTTCAGAGCATATTCCTAAATGGCTCCAGAAACAAATGGAATCTTCAGAACCTATTAATGGGGAGAACAGGAGACCTAGCTCTTCTATTGCGAAACATATTATAGAGACAGGACATAAAATTGACGTTAACAGATCTTTTAAACCTATCTATAAAACGTGTTTGGAATAGGGCGTATCCTAAAGTTTGTGGAAGCCCTAGCTGGCAATTAGAAAGTTTAAACCACCTTTATGCGTTCAAAAACAATTCGTCATCACATTAAACCTTCCTTGGTAAATTTTGTTTTGATACCATAGCAGATGTACGATTACCTCTGCTACTTGGTTTAGTGGTCTTCATTGTTATTTTGACCTTCAATATGTCCTTTTAACTTGACCTAACTTGTCTATTTTCTCACCTCTTACCTCTTTATTAATTTCATATATATTCCTATGACAAGGCCGTGTGTGATCAGATTGTTCGAAATGTGTTGCGCAAATACCCAATACACGATTCAGACAAATTACGTCTTCTTATTGCTTTATGTATATGTAATAATAATCTGCTCTATTTCGAAACAGACAGTACTTATAATACAGAATGGAATTCTCAACATTTGTCACAATACAGAATCTGATTTACTCAAAATATAAATAAAATTAAAAATTAAAACAAAATTAACTAGAGGGATTTGTCCATATTTACGATATAAAGTCAAAAATATTCGAAGTACGAATTGAGAATATTAATAATAACAGTGAGTTCGTTTCAAGCAGTATTGTCGATTCAGTTTGGAAATTATAGCATGTTATAGATTATTGAATCTAATGTTCTGTTGATATAGCAGCATGGTGAGGGGAAATACAAAATTAACAATTATAACACAGCTTAAATGATGTTCACACTTATGAAAAAATAAACAAATAAAAACAAAAAACATTGAGAGGATTATAAATATGAGAAGTACAATAACAATAAAGCTTGATGTTGTAAGGGTGAAGGAAAATGGTTTATTTAGTAGTATAAAGAAGGTTAGTTATTTAGTTCATGCCTGACACTATTTTCATCACATAAATTACGTGCCGCCAAATATGTTATAGTGGAATTTTTATACTTAGACGTACGTGCATAAAGTCTTCTGAAAAGACTTCTTGTTTTACCTGAGGAGACACAAGGTTGGAGCTGTGGATGCTCACAGTCTGACAAAATTCCTTTAGCAAATTTGTTGCATGACATCAAGTACCTATCAGTGACAATGTCAACAGCCCAATGTGATACTACCAATCGTCCTACTGACAGTCTTCAGAGTTCTACGAAGTATGACATAGTCTGTTTTAAGCAATCCACGGGAAAGAATAAGGGTGAACAGTGAAGAAGAATAGGCAAGATGCACGAGTTGACAAACTGTAAGCGGAGGCGAAGGGGTTGAGTTATGCCTGAGTGCCTTAACTTCTTAACGTAAAAGTTAGACGAAATATTCTTTCAGAAATTGCTAAGACATGGGAAGAGCAGGACTGATCAGAAGAAAGAATTAATCCAAGATACTTAGCTTCAGACTTGGTTTCTATATCACTATCATAAATTTTGCACGGTCATAGAAACCAACAGCTTCATTTAACTTTCTTTCACATCGGAAACTGAAATTAACAGTCTGACATTTCGAAGGATTTAGTTTAAGGCCATTATAAGAAAATATTTGAGAAGTTTCTTTTTCGAAAGTAATGCTTTATATTGTGGCTCATAATTGGTAGGGTGCTGGAATTTCTAAGATGAATCACGAACTGATTTTAGTCAAGGGAATCATTGAAAATCGAGGACTGCTGGACATCTGTTTCGTCTTTATTTGGGACTCTTCACTGGTACGCACCCTTGACCTATCCATCTTCAGGTTACGAGGCGACCTGGTTGACTATTTGGCTACTGAGACAAAGTTCAGTGGCTAATCGATAAATTCTAATTCCTGATATACGGAGCTACCGATAACTACGTGATGTCATCTGTGTGTATATCGCACTCGACATGGTGAACCCCACTGATCACCATCCTGCTAGAATTTCATGCAACTTAATCACGGACATCAGCACTTTATAAACTGAAGACTGCTGGCTTGGAAGCCTATCATAATTCTTTCCTCAATCAGTTTTAGGAGTAGAGTTGGTCAAGTAGGCGTTGAAGTTCTTTTTTTTCTAATTAGGATATGACTGACTGCCTGGTTTCAACACAGAACTTTGCACCGATATGCAGCAGTTCGAGTCGCCACACTTCACTCAGTACACAAAGGAAGAGAAGAAAGTAAAAGAAATGCTAAATAGAGACAGTTGACAGGGAAATGAGACAAAAAGAATAGTAATAACCAAGAACCATATATAGAAGTGGATGCATCTACGCCATCACTGAGAATAATTTTGAGCCATATTACCTATTGTCTCCAGCAGCCATTGGTGTTTACCGTCCCGAGGACCCCAAACAGGAAGCCAATCTACACCTCCTTATGTGGCTGGCTTAAACTAACTGTTATGGATTTATTTTATTGACTGATGAAGCCATGTTTTGGTTTGGCCACCACTAGCTCTTTTCCAACCTGATCAATCATATGTCAGCTAACGTTGTCTGTTGTCCAGGAGGGCGACCGATGCCTAGGCTAGACATGCGTAACACATACCCTAACCACCTCAATCGATGTAACTTCACAGCCTCGTCTATCCATTTCCCCTCTTTACCTAGCACTCGACGCCTAACCTCAATATTGCTCATCTTATTATACCACCACCTAACGCATACGGGAGATTGAACGCAGACATCTATGATGAAAGATAGCCAGCTAGCCATTACGGAAGACGGAGCGAAGTGACTCCTGAGCAGTACACACGTCCCTTCGTCGACAGCCAGCCGAATATCACTTCTACCCCAGAGACGGCGTAAGCTGGTACATGCCAAACGAGCCTTCTGTATCCGTACTGAGATTTCGTCAGCGATTAGATCAACTCGCTGGCGTTGGCTGATGGAACTTCCCTCTAAATAAGTAAAGTGGTCAACCACTTCACTTCTGTCTATCTTTAAGCTAGGAGTGGGTGAATGTAGTCCAGTCCTGTAGCAGCATCTTACATGCCAAACATTCGAAGATTGCTCACTGCTCAAGGTGTTCAGAAGACTCTACTCTACTTCATCAGCGTCTTCACCTAGAAGGAGTTGGTCAATTCGATGTTTGGTACCAGTCACAAAGAGAGAGAGAGAAAGAGTTATTTTTCGCTACAAATCCTGGTCTACTGAAATTTTAATACTTCTGGAATTAGTGCATATAAAGCCCACTGCCTTTTTCTCATGTTTGATGTTACTAAAGGCTTTCTTAAACTATGAAGACTTTAGATGCTTTTATTCCGTTATCGTTAACAGAGTGAATTTGCAGAGCGGTTGAAAACTAAGCAGACTTTTCCTGTTGATACAGTTGCCTTTCCTGCAGATGAACCATTTATTCCCATGCTTCTTTGTCACGGTTTAGCAAATCTATAATTTTCTAAAAATCACTCCACTTGATCATGTGAACAGTTATTATAATCTCTGCTGCATTCTTCACTTCTGGCTTTCGCTGTGTACGAGGAATTCACCTGGTTTACGCTTAAACTCCCTTCATATTTCATTGTAGTCGATAATTTAGAAAATGTCTTCTGTGCATTCATGGATTAAAAAGAATCGGTTTTTAAACGCTGGGCGTTTTTTCTATCGTTTCCTGCTGGTCAGAAGCATCCTTTTTTTTACCTAAGTGATGTCAGGTTCTAGAACGAGTGATGTCGCTAATTTACTACTAAATGTCTGGTGATTTCTTGAATTAGTCTCAGCTCACGATTTAGGCTCTTTTATATCCATAAATATGGTCTATTTTAGTAGACAGTTGAATTAAGGTGGGAGGTTGACACCTCTTTAAGTTAAAAACTGGCACAGGGTCCTCACCAAATGGATGTCTAATCACAGTTGTAGTGTCCAATCCTCACTACTGATTCTTTCAGTTGGGACTCGAAAGTTGTTACTTAAGGTCTTTTATAATGTGCTTTTGCATTTGTACCATTGAATGAGATTGGCGTCGGCCCATATTACTTATTCTCTTTTCAAATAGGTAATTCAGTTACCCCTGAAACGAGAAACCCACAGGTTTTATTTCCACACACAGCATTAACTGCTGACTGTCAATGATCTTATGAGGCGGTGTTGCCTCCACCAAAATAATAATTGGTTCTAGGATTTCATCATGAGCTGACATTGGTTAGAGAACCATTAGAAAACCTGGGAGTACTGGACAACTGTTTCGTCCTAGTTTGGGACTCTTCACAGTACGCACCCACCGGGGCTCTAACCAATGTCAGCTCATGATGAAATCCTGTAACCAATCAAATCCCTACAAACCAACACTTAAATATCGATGAGATGCTCACTAGCGACTTGCCCTATTCAGGTAGGTAGTTATCTGGGGTTCTAGTGAGAAGTCGTGACCAGTAGGGTGCAGCAGGTCAGGTGTGAGGACAAGTACTTGCCGAAGACATTGGCTAGGGGTCGCGCTATGTCGTGAATTGGCGGAAGTTAGAATTCATGGGCCATTGCATCGGGTCTCAGTGGCTTAATGGTATACGAGCTCGTCTTGTAACCAGAAGGTTGTGAGTTCGAGCCCTGGTGGGTGCGTACTGTGAAGAGTCCCAAACTAGGACGAAACAGCTATCCAGTACTCCCAGGTTTTCCAATGGTTCTCTAACCAATGTCGGCTCATGATGAAATCCTGTAACCAATCAAATCCCTACAAACCAACACTTAAATAATTGGTTCTCTTTCTTCCAACCCATGTGTATTCCAGCAAACGTGATAATAGTTGTGAATACATAATACACAATCAAGAAACTTTACTTAGTGCATGTCTAACATTATCATCAAATAACTTGCTTTATTTTATCACGACTTTACACCCAGCATCTGCAGTGCTCAGGTGAAAGCTTCAAAATTTACGAATGATGCCAAGAAGATAAAAATGCCCACTATCTCAAGCTGTACAGCTTTGATAACTATCCATTGTTCATCTTCACTTGTGAAGAAGAACATGATGGTAGACTACACTTCCTTGATGTCCAATTGAGCAGAAGAGAGGATGATTCACTCAAGAGGAGATGTCTATAGAAAACCTACATCTGTAGGACAATATACACATTTCCTCAGTTTTGTACCAATCTGCTACGAAATCAATTCGGTCAGATGCTTCACGAATAGAGCAACAAGGGATCTGTACAGATGACTCCCTAGAAAATGAGTTAGGATACATCCAAATGGGTTATCCTAGTAGATTTCTAAGGAGACACATGAACACCAGGTATAATCAAGAGAAACTGACAACAGTTAAAAAGAAACAAATGTTCCTAAAATTACAATTTAATGGAGACGGGACTAGTGAAGTCTTACATCTAAGATTATCGAGAGCAATAAAATGGACTTATACTGCCACCACCACCACTCTTTGTTTGTCATTTTCCAGCTGTCGACCAATTATGATTGCTCAAGCGAAAGACAAGCTACCTGTACCACTTCTATGTGTATCTATAAATTAAGTTGCCCCTGTAAAGAGAGCTATAGAGGGTGAACAACTGGACAACTTGACAAATGTATTAATGAGCATCTTCCTTCATGATTCGGAAAAGGTCAAACAAAATCTATAAGAAGTTCTATTTTGACTCATTTGATTGATGATAAAGGTCAGAAGAAGCTCCTTTGAAGTTATCCATCGAAAGGAGTTTGAACATATGGGAATTCGCGAGAACAATCCTAGTCTTTGCATACAAAAGAAGTTTGTTCTACCTTTGTTTCTCCCTTGCTTCACCTAGGTAAAGTCTAATTAAAAAACCCTCCCACCCTTTCTTATTTTCCTTTTCCTTCGCACTTTTATGATATTTATTTTAACTCTAATTACCTGTCCACTTCACTTTCAGTATTACGTAACTTTTAAGATCTGACCTAATTTATTTACTTATTGTCTGTATATACACATATTACTACCTTCGTTATTCTTATTATCATTATTTTGTGTTATCAATATAATAATCGTTATTAATAACCTTCAAAACACTCACCACTATTATTATTATTTGATCCACAAAGTCACTGTCATTGGTTAAATTGTGGTGAGAGCTCTCTGTGAGCCAAAATTGTAGACAACAATTTACGTCAATGTTCACGTCCCGAATCGGGGTCATGAGAAAAACAATAACAAAGCTTAACCTCGAGGAATTCACCAACCAGTCACAACAGACTTAACGTGTGCCAATAGAATTCGCAGATGTGTGACTTAACTTTCTGAGGAACGGTCACGAGCAGTACAGAATAAAACCTTCAGCAAGAAAACAACCAATCAGAAGACAATTTTACAATCCGCTGACAATAATGTACATAAAAATCTATAAATATCTGTTGATTTTCTCAATAAACGATCTGTTGCCTTTGTATATATAAATCTATGTAAATTATAGTAAAGCCTGAAGACGATCTAATTGAAAACAACAATACTACTGTTCGCCTATAAATGTCTTGTTCTAACTATTTTTAACACCAGAATTAGTTCAGAATAACACATGAAAAAAAAAAAATAAATAAAAGTTGTACGTTGTATTTCGAAAAAACGACCAAGATCAAGTGGTAAATGTAGAAATAATAGTAGAGAAAGGTTTACAAGAGCTATGCAAATGCTACAGTATTTACAGATCAATTTTGTCTCAATCTTTGTTTGTGAAAATTTTCATAATTCTGATCCAACACGTCATCAAGTTCCGATCTGCCTCGAAAGAATCCAAAATAGATTGCAGTGATTAGAGTACACACTATAACAATTTGATATTGATATTGTGGTGTATCTTTTGGCTTGTTAACAAAATTCATTATTGCGTGCCATTTTTTATTGGTTGAATATCGTAGTTGTCCATCAGGCAGTGTATTTTCATCAGGTGTTTTTTGTGTCTGACGAAAGTAGGTACTAAAGAAATTACGGTTATTAGCAGCAGCAAGTAGACTTCTCATTGGTGGCTGATTGCTACTACTGGCTAGCGCTTTTATCAGGTGTAGTTGGAGCAAACCTCTAGAGCCTAGATTATTCATTTCAAACTGTTATCAGTTTTGTGCGTGACAGCCAACTAACTAAATAATAATAAGCTGAAATGTAAAAATTTATGATACGAAATTTTTAATTGATTGGTAAAATAAAGTAAAATTATGAAATGAAATATATCTAATCACTAGCTTTAACTGTGAACACTGCGTAGAGTGCCATATATATATAAACTATACGACACCAATGTTAAGAAAAGAAACAGACAGTTTGTAACCCGTAGTTAAGTCAGCGATTGCACTGACTAGAGTTGAAGAGAATTTAGAATACAGTTTATCTTGACGTTAGTGTTATTATTATTGTTGTTTCCTTTAGATCCTAGAGGAACATAGGGCTTCAGATGCACGTCTCCATTGCGTTCGGTTCTCTGCCAACGTCTTCCCACATGCTTTCATCTCCTCTCATACCTCATGTCACCCTCGCACTGACGACCAACTCGCCGCTTCCTATTCAGGTTCCACTCGAGCGATGGCCTGGAGTGTGATGTCACTTGATGGTTTTCTCAGAGTATAGTCCCTCCACCTCCATTTCTTCCTGCATATTTGTTGCACAATTGGTTCCTGGTTTGTTCGCTCCCAGAGATCCTTCCCTGTTGCTGATCTTTTCTGGCCATCTGATCTTGAGTATTGAGCGAAGACAGCTCTTGATGAAGGTTTGTAGTTTGTTCGAAGTGCCCTTCGTGATGGGCGCGCCAAATCTCTGACGTATAGTAAGTAGCACTGACTTCACAATGGAGTCGAACGTCCGGGTCTTATTTATCATGCTGAATGCTGTTGGTTTCCACACAGACTTGAGAGTAATGAAACCTTGCCTTGATTTCTCGATCCGTGCTTTGATATCCTCATCAGTTCCGTCCGCCTGTAGTTGAAACGATGCTTCCTAGGTAAGTAGGTAGGTGAAGGAGGTTGCTTTTTTCAGATTTCTCCCATTTATGCTGATTGTTATTGTTGCTGTTACTGTTGGCCAGGAATCTTCATCACCTCTGTTTTATCTATGTTCACCTGAAGGCCCATCTTCGATACTTCTTCTGTGGACTTGTTGCTTTTCACTTACATATCTTCCAATTTGTGGGAAATCAGACATACATCATCGGTGAAGTCCAGGTCCTCGAAGTTTTTTGTGTGGGTCCATTTTATGCCTGTTTCCTCGCTGCCCGCTGTCTGTCTCATTATCCAGTCTACCGCAATCAGGAAAATCATTGGAGACAGTAGGCAGCCAGTCAGCCTTACTCCCGTCTTCACCTCTTCGAAGGATTCCGTGAGTTTCCCGTTGTGGATTACTTGGCATGCAGCATTATCGTACAACTGTTGGATGAGGTGTACACACTTCTTAAAGTTTAAATTATTGACAACTGCTTCATAACTTACATATTCATACAATAAAACCAGAAAAATTACAAAAGGTAAGTTTCGAAACCTCGGAAGTATAACTTTCTACAGTTATTTTCTTAATCTTTTCACTAGTTTCTCCATCGCAACTAAATATTTCTATTAAATGTTCAGTAATAAGTCAGCAAATTTTTTTCAAAATCACTTCTGAACCCTTTCAACCATTAAAGTTATCCAAATTATATTATTTATTGTGAGCACACCAATTTTTTCTAAATAGTTGACGTCATCTTATAGTTATTAACACCAAACCACAACCTTCTCACTAAACGATGTGATTTACTGATTTAATGCACAATGAATCAATCTTCAACCATTCCTGAGATATGTTCACCTCCTTAGATACATCTCTGGTGAGGTCAAGACTGGAAAACTGTATCCAGGCAGCCAGTCCTTGTCTTAAAGGGGACTCACATATTCTAGAAAGGGTCCAAAGGAAGGCAACACGTATGATACTCGGCATAACTAACTTATCATACGAGGAAAGACTAGACAGTTTAAATCTCTTCTCCCTATCATACCGTAGGCAGAGAGGAAATTTAATTACGATGTTTAAAATTTTAAATAATGACTACGGACCTGACCTATTTTCTCTTTTCCTTCGCACCAGGTCGGAACACCTTAGAGGACATAGCAGGAGAGTTAAAAAGCCAAGGAGAAATCATATTTCTGCTGTTGAGTACTGGTTCTTACACCGAGTCATAAACTCTTGGAACCGACTCCCAGAAGTGGTGTCTGCAGCCTCAGCAGATTCGTTCAAGAAGGGTTTGGACAAACACAGAAATTTACTATAAAAGCTTTAACATAGGCTTCAAGGCTTCTATTCTCAACCAATAAATTTGAATCTGAATTCCCATATAAGAGCACTACGCCAACACAGGTTTAATAATGATTTAGGAAGCAATTGCTTAAGTTTTTGTCTGCCCAATAAGAAACAAATATAGACCCACATTCAGCTAGAAATCGATGACGATGAAAATTTAGCCCCACGAGGAATACAAGTAGACCTAAAGTTATCAACAGGATTACTGCGTGAAAATGACACCTCACGACTAGGACGCAAATTAGAGACCTATAAACCAATAATAACACAAGTCGATTCATTTGAATAGCAGTGGTTTGTTCGTGATTTCATAACATTTAATTATTTGCATTAATAAAAACACGAAAAACAAGACCAAATTAGTACATTTACAGTAACCAAGTGAATACAACATGTTGGTAATCTCAGGTAAGAAAGTATGTTAATACATGCATCAACTTTAACATATTTACTGGAACTTAAAAGGTAAGGATGACTTTTAACATTTTGTGTGGGGAAAAGAGGAATTATCTCAACCACTAATCACCCTCCCCCATATAAGAATTTTGTGGTGTAGGGGTATTCGGGGGTAAATTTTGAGGTTTTCTTTGGAGGGGGTTCCATTGAGTAATCCCAAAAGAAGCCGAAATAGCAAGCTAGTGATAGCTGGTCCATCGCATAAAACGTCAAGTCCACATCGGATGGGACTTAATTCCCCTACTTCAGGGGACTCTGCAGTACACTGAACCACCTGGTTGTCAAAGGCTAAAACGGTAACCATGTCGTACATAAATCACTGAAATATGATTAAACAACTTCGAAATTGTCTGCAGCTTGCCCGAAGACTGACCCAAAGTTTTTGAAGTGCACTAACAAGTCTATATCAAGTAGGCAAAAACGATTTCTCAATCATATACGACTGAGAGGGCTGTATGATACTACTCAAAATTAACAATTAACGCAAGTAACACGTTATTTACATGTTTTGGTACATCAAATACTTTCCTGAATAAACCCGAAGTTCCGGAAAAGTGACATTATTCCCTAAGTGCCATGAAGTGAACACGGTGACTTTAAACTATAGCAGTTCAAGAAAACTTAACTTCTAATAGGAGTCCTCATGATCAGGTTAAACCAATTTCAGTATATAAATTCGTCTAGGTCAATAATCCGTCCATTAGGTAGTTTCGTTTTGGGCTGCTATAGTTTAGAGTCACCATGAACATACATGATGCATAATAATCTCACAGGTATTCTAATGCCGTTTCACCCTTTCAGATACATGAAGCAGAAGCATACTTTTTGTGATCAAGGTCACGCCTTGAAAGTAGGCGCCTAGTGTGACCTTCGACTGTTCAGTTTCCATGTTTCAGATTTTTTGGTCGAGGATATAAGGTTTGAACCACCAAGAACAATTTCGGACTATGATGTTTGATTAAATTTTAGGTGAGGGTAGTATTATGTTGTCTAATTGTCAGAAAAGGACTGTAGCACGTAGTCAGTTATTACATAATGCCTGCTACTATACGAACTGGCAGCCATTTTTATTATTGGAATGAGTGGGATATCTTTGTTTTTTGAGGAGTTACCGGTGCGAAAATGGGAATGGTCTGCTTCCAAAAACCCTAACTAGTATGAATCCCGTTGTTGTACTTAACAAAATGTCCCCTATCTTCTTTTTAAATGGTCCAGCAAAGTATCACGTGACAATTTGCACAATAATCAACAAAATATTCATCCGGTCCCAGCTTTTTATTCATTTTAACCTTTCCGAACCAAGTGTTCCTGTCTATTATGTTATTAAATAGCTTTAAATGGTCATGTTTTCCCCTCTACGGCTGACTATCGTAAGCTACTTTAATTGAATGTTATTAGGTGGGCACTACAACTTTGATCGATGACAAAGACTGTTAGGCTTGATAGAAAGGGTACTAGTGGTCGATGCGTGCGTGTTTGTTGTGGGGAACTAACCTGCTGAAGACCAAGTTCAAATTTTGGAAGTGAGCCTGCTTATCTAGGTTCGCCTGTATGAAGTTACACTTTCAGAATATTTGGTCAGTAAGGATTAGGAATGCTTATGCTGCATTACGAAGACAGAATGACATCAGCCAGGATTCCAATAATCCAAAAGATATGGTGGTCTCTATTTCCGAAATGCATTCGGTTACCCTAGGGGCTTGATTGTACGCTATAAATAAGTCAATTTTTGAGAAGGCAGCCGCACTAGAAAGCGTTGAGGACAAATCGGGCTTCTATGGCAGTAGATAGCTATTCGGGATAGTCTTGGAATTAAATCATCAGTGATCATTTGTGAGTCACTAATCTTTGCTATCCTTCTTTGGAACCATATGAATGGGGGATGCCACTGAGCCACTCAGTAGTCAAACAACAGGACTCAGCACGTGATCAAATTCAACTTTGGGTAATCTCAGCTTGTTGGGAGTTAGTCACTGAGTTTTAAATGTCTCGGTTTGTCCGTTGTTTGAGGTGTGGTAAATAACATTTTTGGTTATGCACGTCAAATTGTTCATGGGATAATAAATCTTCAAGCTCTTGTCAACAATGAATTGAGCGATTGCTCACCTTCAACTTGTAGCGGAATTTAATCCCCCAAAGTTATAATCCTGCAGCATTCATCACTCAACACTGGGTACCGACCTTCATTGTTTAAGTTGACTCGTCATCCGCAAGGCTCGTGGTCAGTCATCTGCGCCATTTTGCG